CCCGCACCCAGAGGCGTCCTTCAGCTGGCCCCTAAACAAATATATATACTAGTTCAGTGATAATGAACGCCATACTAAACTCCAAATTGTACACAAGAAACTAAAATTAAAAATAATACAAGACTAACAAAGGCTAGAGGCTCCTGACTTGGGACAGGCGCAAAAATGCGGCGTGGGTTAAACATGTTTATGAGATCTCAACCCTCCCCCTATACCTCTAGCCAATGTAGAAAAGTAAACGCATAACAATACGCACATTAAAATTCAGTTCAAGAGAAGTCCGAGTCTGATGTCAGAAGATGTAACCAAAAAAAATAAACAAAATGACAATAATACATAAATAACAACAGACTACTAGCAGTTAACTGACATGCCAGCTCCAGACTTCAATTAAACTGATTGAAAGATTATTTCTTCATCATATGAATATCAGGCACAATCCTTCCCGTTAGGGGTTTAGTATCATACCATCATAACATATATGAGAAGAACATAACCTGTGTCATGCCAACAACTGGTTTTTAAATAAATGTGTTTAGTGCCGATGCAAAGACCCTATAAGTGAATCAATATTAACGCCAAATTATGCAATCTTTAATGACCTGACAACAGTATCGTAACTATATCCCTTCTTAATAAGTCTATTTAAAGGTTTTGTTAACTTCAGAGGTGAATACTGACATTTTTGTGCTTTATAAAGAATATTTCCATAAAAAATTGGATGTGAAATACCTGAATGTATAAGAAGTCTGCATGTTGAGCTATATTTACGAATGATGTTCTTATACCGATGATAAAATTTAGTAAATGTTTTTACTAGTTTGTGATATCGAAAACCCAGGTGTAATAATTTTTCAGTAATACATAAATTTCTCTCGTTAAAATCTAAAACATTGTTACATACACGAGCGAATTGTACAAGTTGAGATATATAAACACCGTAAGATGGTGACAAGGGAACGTCACCATCTAAAAATGGATAATTAACGATAGGAAATGAAAAATTATCTCTTTTATCATATATTTTAGTATTAAGCTTTCCATTAATGATATAGATATCAAGATCGAGGAAAGGGCAGTGGTCATTGTTAGTATTAGCTTTATTTAAAGTAAGTTCAACAGGATAAATTTCTTTAGTATACATACTGAAGTCGTCATTATTGAGAGCCAAAATATCATCCAAATATCTAAAAGTATTATTAAATTTGTGTATCAGATGTTGTTTCGATGGGTCTTTGCTGATTTTTGTCATAAATTGTAACTTATAGCAATACAAAAAAAGGTCCGCAATAAGTGGTGCACAGTTAGTCCCCATTGGAATTCCGATAACCTGACGATATACGGAATCTCCAAAGCGAACAAAAATGTTATCTAGTAAAAATTCAAGGGCATATATAGTATCAAAGCATGTCCAATTGACATAGTTTTTTTGTTTATTGCTACTAAAAAATGACCTAAAAGAGTTTGAACATATATATTCACATTCTGACTTTTTAAATGCCCATTTAATTAGGTGTGTGAATTTTTTCTTAATGAGAATGTGAGGCAATGTGGTATATAGGGTAGAAAAATCTGTTTTGGTTCTTATTCATATTTTTGTTTTTCCAAGCTTTTGACCTCATGAGTACCAGATGAAGGTTACTCAAAAAGCATGTGACATACCCACAGAAATCTGTACCATATATTTTTTTCCAATGGTAGAATCCTAGTCACTTAAGCATTATCAACCTTTAAACGATTTGTTGATATTTGAGAACTGAACTTGAATAACAAACTTACAAGAGTCAATGAAGCATGAAATGTAATTCAGAGTAAACTATTCTTGAATGAAAAGTATTCAGTGCCCTTTAATGTATTCTAATATCATGTTATATAACTGTAAATGCTTGTGAGAGTAACTTGTTTTGATGGTAGGTTAATATACTATCAAATATGTATCTTTAAAGTAAGTCATACAAACTTGTATATAATTGCACTCATTATTTACAACTTGATAGGTGAAGTCTGACATAAACATGACTGTGAGTCAGTGAAGCGTGGAATATAGGTCGTCCTGTCACAATGACTTACTTACTTTAGATGGGATGTTGTAATACTCCCTTGATGCAGATGTAACTTTAGTTCTTAAAAGAATTGAATTTAACATAAAAATATTGTACAGTGGTAAGTTTTTGTGAAGGGGTTTATTTTCCCTTATTTCATAAATAAGACAAATCCAGAAAATATTCCCTCACTCTAATTTCATCTTCCAGAAAGAAAAGAGTCAGGAACAAGAAAAACTTGAAAATAAAACCATGCGAAAAAGGTTTGGACTTTAAAATTGATATTTAATTTCTGTTTTACTGTATACCTCATACACCTTATCGCTATTCGTCCGCCATAACTGGACATCACAAAGGTTCCCGTAAAATTTTGACGTCACAATAGAAATTAACTGACACCAAAATGGAAAATTGTTGTATGACGTCAAAAGTTCAACCGGCGCAGATTCTCAGGTCAACCGGTGCAGATTTCCAAATAGCGATAAGGTGTATTCACATAAGATGAATTCCTAGACCTGATAGAAGTTTAAAATCCTGTTTCATGGTATTGCCTTTGAATATGGTTAAAAAAATTGATTAAATCTCCCATGATAGATTTCACCTATGTAATTAATATGAATTAATTGACATATCAGAAACAGGGTTCTAAATACTGTCCTCTTAATTACCCTTCCCTTCAATCAATAGAATTGTGATTGAGTTCTATTTCTGCTGTTAGGTTCAATCGAACATGGTATAGATATGTGCAATAACTGAGGAGACACCTCTTCAATGAGCTTTAATTAATACATCACACCAGCTAACAGCATATTCATTCCATGTTTATCATGAATAAAAGAGATGTGGGATATTTCCGATATATGTCAGTGCGTCATTTCATTTACTTGATTCAGTAGATTCGATTAATCATTGAATTTTAAAAAGAACCAGATATTATTTGATACATATTCAGCAACCAACCACTGGAAAAGTAAAACACTTTGTCTGTATTATTACAAAACTTCTTAACCACTTGTTTTTCTTTGTTTACTTTCTTTCATGACATGTAAATGACTATTTCCTCTGATGCAAGTTCACAAAATCCCCCACCTCAGTCCCTACTCCCTCAAAAAAGATGACAATTAATTATTATGTTTTCCAATGAAAAACCGTCAATCTTATTAAAATTCAAATTTAAAAATAACATCTTAACATTTAGTACTTAGTCTTCTGTCAAATGCTTTCAGTGACTGTTTCCTCCACTTCAAGTCCTGTTTTCCCTATAGCAACTTTATGCTGTTTAAGGTATTAAATGCTTAATTCTTGAGCATTTTTTAGATTTATAAAATTTTCCATTTCTTCTATAACATTATTTTGACCCAGAAAAAAGAACAAAGAAATTTTCAAAACTTGGTAACATTATTAAAATCAACTGGTTGCTGGATTTCTGTCTCAGTACTAGTGACATTCACCCTAAAGTCTTTTTATTAGCACAATACTGACAATACTGTGGGTTCACTATTATTCCTCAGGATACCAATTTTCATGGACTTTATGGGTAAAGCAAAAACTCAAATCTAAATATTCAAAATAATACAATTTTTTCTATAGTTAGATATAAGAAGATGTGGTATGAGTGCCAATGAGACAACTTTCCATCCAAGTCAACATTTATAAAAGTAAACCATTATAGGCTTGTATTCTGACTTTGGCAAATAAACTCATCATAGATACCTGATTAAAAATTTTTCACCAGACGCCTGTTTCATCTACAAAACCATAATATACAATTATAGCCTTTGTGTGAGGTCGATACAAGGATATATTGACCTGAAAGAAGTATATTGACTGAGGACGAAGTCCAAGGTCAATATACTTCTTTGGGTCGATATATCCTGTATTGACCTCATACAAAGGCTATAATTGTTATTTTATTAATTTCCGACGATATTTGTATCAAAATCGTCAGTGTAATATAGTTGATCATTTGATTTTGTTGGAATTTTATAGATATCATATTGTCTCCTAGACAATAACAACATATTAGTTGTCTTTTCATTTTATTTTTTATGGTTTTTTTGTACATCTTATGTATTTAAAGATGTTTTTCTTCAAGTAATCGATCATAAATATAATTTTTTTAAAACTTTTAACAATATCATGAAATTCATTACATGACGTCACAAATTATATCGGTTTTTAGATATTCTAAAAATAACCGTGCAATATGCTTTTTGCTATCCGCCGTTTTCTATCTACCTTCGAAAAAATAGTTTAACATGTGACTATCCCTGAACAAATCAAATTAGTTAAAATATACGAATTAATAATATCATGAAATTTATTACATGACGTCACAAAGTATATCGGATTTTAGATATTCTAAAAGTAACCGTGCAATATCACTTTTGCTATCCGCCATTTTCTATCTACCTTCGAAAATATAGTTTAACATGTGACTATCTCCGAACGAATCAAATTAGATAAAATACACGAATTAATAATATAATAAAATATCTACAAAAATACTAGATTTCTCAATCTACAGAAATTGGTACCCAGGACAATAAAAGAATCATCAGTAATTGGTTTCATCTGTTTCAGCTTAAGTTTCTCATGAAAAAAATAAATAAGTTGATCTGATTAATTTAAAAATGTGAAAGGTCCACTAAGAACATCATGAATATTGATATATATCTCAAATAAAAATCCTGGATTTCAGACCCCCAGATTTTAGACATCCTAATCCAAGCTTATGAATATAACAGATAGAATCTATCTATTCTAAAAGGAGCTTCTATTCATACTTTTATGGGTCCAACATGAAAAAGAAGCACTGTGACTTTCAAACATAATTTGTATAGCTTTTTTTAAAAGGATTTTGAAAGAGTTTCTGAAAAACGAGGGCATCAAACCTGACTGAATCCATCCCCACCCCGTCTTGATCTGTCGTCACTGATGTAAATAAAAAAATCTTACTTGTTTTGTTCTATTGCAGATTCTAGATTTTCAGATACTTTGAGTACATGTGCAGCAGGTTCACAACTTTTGGAGAGTTTCTGCAGTAAAGCTGTTGTAGTACTCAATTTAAATAGACCCAGAGCACGCTTTCTCAGTCCATGGAGCAGACAGGCTTCTACAGCACCTAAAAGAGAAAAGTGTAGGAATAAAATAATTGGTATGAAACTGTGTTTTTTTAAGAACAAATTTGTCTTGTGAATTTGCAGTCATTTCCATTCGGTACATTGCACTAAATCATAAGAGAACAAATTTTTACCATTTATCCATATTGACTATAAAAATAAGGAGATGTGGTACAACATTTATCCACTCTTTTAATTGATAGTTGAATATTCAAATTCTTAAATGCTCAGTTACATCACATTTCAAAATTTGAAAATATAACTATGTAGAGAAGATATTTTTAAGATTGAAATCAACAGGGAATTGTGATAAAATCTATTACAATTTTTTTCAAAATTGATGATCCAAGTGTTCCTGATAATGTTTAAAATCCAGAAATGTGCATCTAACACAGTGAGATAATGTTTTACTTTAACATGTTTAATTTGATCGCTGGGCACTCTGGCTTCCTCCACAAATAAAAACTGACTGCCACGAAATAGCACAATAGTGCTGAATGTGGCATTAAACACCAATCAATCAATACTTTGATAGCAAACAGTTTTGAAGTTCTCTCTCTTCAATTCAAATACATTTTTTTTTGTTTTTAGAATTAATATTTTTTCGTTTATTGTTTATAAAATTACCTTTTATTTATGGAAAAAAGTAAAATGAGCATTTATCAAAAAAAATAAATAAATAAATTAATTAATCATTAGGTTTCAAATTCATGATTTAATGACTCAATTGCACAAGGAATCAATGTCTGATGGAATAAGTTTCTGAATCCAGATATCATTTAATATAATTCATTTAAATATATTCAAATTCAACAAATATTTACTTTCAAGCAACCATCATGATGAAGATCTGCAGTTAAAGCATTGTTTCTCTAAATTATTGATTATTTCTTAAGTATTCAAAGACATTTTTTGTCCCCTGTATTCAGCCCAATTATTATCCAATCAATTGATTATGCTATTTAATTTTAATCTTTACCAGACTTCATTGTTGGTTGCAATTGCTGTCTACCATTATTGCTTTTACTTACCGGGTAATTCTATTTGCTTTGATCAGTCTGTTAGGTTACTCTAGTGAGTTTCACATTTTGTTATCACCGGGAGGGATCTTTATGGCATATTTAAATGGAATGGGTTAAGCCTTGTACATTGTTTTGGTAGGTAGTTTTCACATGGATTTTGATTTATGAGAATTAAGGTATATACATTGGCAATCATACATCTTTTTTTATATTTATGATCAGTCAACCATGACAACTAAGAAAGAAAGCATACATCCTTCCTTAACTTTAGTCAAAGTCTTTGTAGTGATCAGTCAACCATGACTCTTATTCTAGATACTAGTGCAATAAAGAATTTGTTAATGTTTAAAAAAAAATAAAGGGAGAATGTGTCTATGGGCCACAGATGCCACCACTTGTAAATCATGTAAATATGCATGAGTCAACTTCCACATACAGATGTAGGATTCACTTAGTTAAGACCGTTTTGTGATTATAAGCATTGTGTATAAGTTTCATAACATTTGGTTGAGGCAAACTAAAGTTAGAGAACGGAAACGAAAAATTCAGCAAATGTTTATAAAGTGGCATAACTCATGAACGGCAAAAGTGACTCCACCCAATTTCGAACTTGATCTGTGTTTTGTGGTAATAAGCATTGTGTACAAGTTTTATTACATTTGGTTGATAAAAAAGACTCTTTTTAAAATGATCAAAATAAAAAAATTTCATGATAATTTAATTAATTTAAGTAAACCGCAACTAAAACCTTCCTTTTACATTTCCTTGAAAAAACAAAAATCCTCCTCAGAGTAGCTGATGTAATAATACGAATGACCTCTAAGTACTCTTGTGATAATTACCATTTCTAATTTCTAAAATAGTAGTTGATCTTTTAGAGTGCATGATGACCTTTCCAAGTTATTTATGTACAAATGTACTCTAAAAGTATAAGTTATCATCTATTATTCAGAAACACCCACAACAAATACATATATATCCATAAAGATATATTACAAATTAAGTCTAAAAACCAATACCTAACATACGCAAAAACCAAAAACAGAAACAGTGCTCCCAAAGCCTTGTCAGCAATACAATCAAAGCTACATGAAAATTGACTAAGAAGATTTAGATGACAATAATCTTGGTTTGACGCAACCAGGAACCAATCTCCAGAGACAATAGATATTAGTTTCTGGGTAAATTTATTAACCATTTCCCCAAGAATAATTTCTTGATTAAGGAAAATTGTATATGTCATGAACCTTAAACATTTAAGAGTTTTCTGTTGTTAGACTGTTTTATGATTTCTCAAGTGACAATGACTAATGGTATGTTATGTCAAAGTCTCCAAATAAATAAAGGGAATTATGGAAAAATCAATTCTATCAATTTGAAATTTGAATCTGTTCCGCGTACATCAAAAAGCAGATATAGAGTTTAATATCTAATTTGCATCCTGAAGACAATGAAGTCTCAGGACTTAGAACAATTTCATAGTTACTAGACTTGTGATTTAAATGATAACAGTCTTAACTTTTTTTAATTGCTCTAGATCTTCTGAAATCAAAATTGGATAATTTGAAGAAAAGTTAAAATAATCCACCTGAGTGATTTTGATTTCAATAAGTAAATATTTTTCATATAAATCTTGACCAGTTGCATGTAAATATGGGATGAAGGTGTTTTCATTATCAAAACAGCTTTTATATGTATAGTTCCCATGTTGCACATAATGTTAACCATATAGAAATAAGAAGATGTGGTATGATTGGCAACTTTCCACCAGAGAACAAATGATGTAAAAGTATCCAACTATAGGTCAATGTACAGCCTTCAACCATGAGCAAAACCCATACCTAATTGCAATCAAGCAATAAAAGGCCCCAAAATGACACACATAATACAATTCAAACAAGATAAACTAACAGTCTGATTAATGTACAAAACAATAAACAGAAAACAAATATAACGTCAACTCTGCAGCCTACTGTACATGTGTATAAATGATTTTGCTGGTTTAATGAGCAGTTGTTGTATGCTGCATTCAAACTAATTCCTATATTATAATTAAAAAAATGGTCGAACTAAAAGTTATTGTCTTTATTTCAAAAAACACCCATTATATCTTTTTTTCTAAATTCTATGTGTATATATACATCTGAATGGATATGTAGACCAATATTTCATGATTTGTAACTCCATGGAACCAAAATACAATTTTGCATTTCCTATTCATTTACCTGATCAATACTAATACCAGATATGAATGGATACCCTAGTGAAATGGAGAAAGCCACAGATGTAATCACTTAAACACTTCCAGCACCACATTGCACAATACATCATTATTGTCACAATGACGTGAGTGCGATATAAAATCAATCTATATATTCTCCCAATAATATGAATATGTTATCGCCTGGACCGTCTGCTGAGAGCAATCAGAATTATATTCTATGAAATAAAAGGATAAAGATATTAAAGATATCCGATTTTTACAGAGGATGACCTTGAGGTCACTCCGATGTATTGCCATCGCCTAAATTTCCATTATGCAAATTAGTTTTGGGATTTCAACCGATCTATAAAAATTATAGATCCGCGGTCATTACAAGGGAAAAAAGTGCATTTGTATACCTGCGATTCCGTTCTCCGTTCGTACGATGTTTCATCAAAAAATGGAATCATTTCAGTTGTTGATTTAGTACTGAAAATTTGACTGAATTATCTCCTTATTAAATACGGTTTTATATGTTTAATAGGTGTTTAAGAAAGAGGTCAGGTGCTCATGTTCATTCATAAAATTATCGTTCATTCATGAATTTATCGTAAAATCAAAATCACTACACAGGTCACACAGGTTGTCAAAAGATTACCTGTATAGTATCTAAAAATAGACAAACTTAACTGACTCCCCTTACTGTAGTGTGTGATAACATTTTGTGAGGGAATTCGATGTTTGCTATACCACTGTTCATTTCAACGCACTTTATGACGATACCACTTTATCAATATGAATGAAATTTTTTGCAGTGTTTTAAGAAATAATTTTACTTTAAAATCGCGTATCATTTGTGAACTATTAAATGTTTTACAAGGACGAATTTTCTGTATAAAGTCAATAATTGTGTGAACTTTTGAAGCCCAAACTTTTTATAGCCTTAAATACGCTAATGAAAGATCCGAAAACTATACCCATACAGAACGACATGTTTTCGAAATTGTAGCAAAACTTTTGGTTGACAAATTTTAATTCGTTATTGCATAAATATTAACTTGAAATATCTGTCATTTTCTCCCTACCCAGTTTACCTCTATTACTCATTATGATGTGGACTTGACATTGTTATTGAATCTTATGCAATTTGATTGGATTAAGTTATTATTAGATTACCTTCAAACTGTTCATGCTTTTTCGTACGAGTATATTGATTAAATCAGAGCGTGCATGAATGTGTACAGAAAATTAAATGACCTGCAAACTGGACACTGGACCAGTCCATATTACGTTTTATCAATGAATAGATTTTTTTTTATATCCCAAATAACAGGGCCCATAAAGGGCATAAAATCAGATACAATTGATTTACATAATTGGTAACAACAACAATAATAGCGGCATATAAATAGATATTTAGTATATAAGCATTGGTCAGAATCAGATGAACGAAACTTAAGGTATGAAAGGTAACAATTGCCACTTTTTATCTTTTCACATAATTTTCCACATACACATTAGATAAATTATTTTTGATAGCCTATTGCGGAGAAAAAAGAGAAAGTTTACTGTATTAACGTTCTATTCCATTAAATACGCCATTTTTCGAAGATAAATGCAGAAAAACATTAATGAACGGCTACGCCAGGTAAAATTGTTGTTTATCCTAAAAAAAAATACAATTTTCAGTTTCATTAGAATATTATAATAATAATAAATCCCAAATTTATGTAGTCATTAGATAAAGTCCTTATATGTCCGATCTGCCTATTTTTGGACATCAAAAGACAATACGATCGTTTTAAGGTCAATTTCGTCTACCTCACACAATCTTGTTAGGCACTATAATGAAATGGACCTGAAATTTATTTCACATGTTTCCTGAAAATTGATAAATATCAAAGCAACATAGAGCTGTTTGTTCTGTTTAATTTAATGTCATGTTTGTTTGTGATGACCCCCCTTTTCGGGATTGCATCAGAATTATAGTTATCTCGTATCGCATGAGGATGACACATGTCAACTGAGCAATTATGTTTGGGACTTAGTTTTAAGAAATGATGTCAAAGTAACATTATGAAAATATTTTTAGTAAGCTGAAATATATATTTATTTTTTACATGTTTATGTCTTGTAAGATATTTTATTTCTGTCCCGTTTTTCAACATTTGCGTCTGGAAAGTTGAAATGTTTTAACTGAATGGTTAATTTAAATTAATTATGAAAATGGTTAAAATTAAATCAATAAAGGAAGTTATTGCCCAGTTACAAACACTACCAGGGGATAATCCATAATGATTTTTTTTTCAGTTATATGTTTCAGCACATGTATAATTAACCCCAACTTTAGCCTGGTAAACTTGTTGTCTCCTTGTAAAATATAAAACATATTTAAAATGATTTCCTGCTAAAGTCTTATATTGATATAAAGTTAAAACCGTCTTGCTTCTCACTAGTCAACACTCCTGTCCTGTCAGGTTTAATTCTTATATATATGGATGAAAAATAAAAGTCCACAAAACATTAACATGGCAGCAATTGCTTTTACAGCCTTTAAGACTTTGACTTTTTTTTTACAGAAGAGTGTCCACCATGCACTTGCATTACACTATAATAATAGTAGAATAGTATGATATACAAAAAGATGAAAATTATATATACATGCAACCGTAATATTAATATAATATATAACAACAAACCAGTGTATTCTCTGGAACTATTATTATATTAGTATAATAGTCTAAGGTATACTGATTTGTATCACTACAATATAATAGTTATTACGGTGAGGTTGAATTTCCTGTCATTTATTCATCATCCAAGCACGAACTTGTATAAGAAAAAAAAATCTCTGTAAATTAACCTCAGTTTCATGTATAGAGATGTGATCTGTTTCTGTGACATGTGCTTTTGACCATCCACAAGAACCTGCGGTCATCCGATGTTCAGTACTTCAGTACTTTGATTGAAGACTGCATTTTCAGGGGTTTTGTATTTCAAGGAGAATTATTCAATTAGATAAGGAAGTAATATCTATTAATCCTTAAAATGATGTATGTAATGCTTGAATGTTCTGAAGGACATTATAACATCAAACAGAAACTTAATGAATTTGTTTGATCAAAGCCCTTCTGTGGATTATCCTTCCACAGAATCAAAGGTCACACAGGTATCAAAAAAATAAGAAGAGGGTCTAATTTTGTTAATTTTTAACAAAATGTCCAAAAAAAAAGTTGGTTTTAAAATTACATAAACCCCTTAAACATGTTAAAAACTTGTTCTGGGTCCCCAAATGAAGACACAACCAAACATTTGAAAAGCAAGTAGTTTATGATTATTTCAAATACATGAAAATTAACTTAAGATTTTATAAACTGAAACTAGGTAAAATGATAACAAGTAAAACCATCTATGGTATTCATTTTCTTAGGTATAAATAATTCAACTTTATTGATATGCGTTTATGGTAATCAGGAAAAAAATCTACATTTAGTAAGGGACTATGGTGACAAAAATATTAAAGTCAGCTGAATTCCCAAAACTTTCATGCATGTTACAATTTTCAGTGGCATTTGAGATCATTAGATGATATTTTTTCCAAGTTTGTAAAAAGAGAAATTGACTGATCAATGTTAAATTACAAGTTTGTAGACAATATAAATAAAGGGACAATCTAACATCAACAAAACACTTGAAACATGTCATAACCAAATCTTGAGGTTGGAAATGTGATGTCAAGAATAGGATTGTGGGTGGTTTGAATGATGTTTGTTTCTGACAGAAACCTGATTGGGTTTCTGATAGTACACAATAATCTACGTAAACATTCAACAATTTCTGGTACATGTCCCTCATAAGATTCTAAATAAACTCCAGACGTCCAAAGTTGATTGAATACCATACTGAGTTAGTTTGTTTGAACAAAACATGGTAACAGTACATTCTTGAATTATTTCTACAAAAAGAGCTACCAATGGGTTATCAAAAGAAAGATACAAATGCCATATTGAATACATGTAGTTATTCTTTGGGTTTTCCCCAAAAATAATTAAGGGTAAAGGAAAATAAACATTTTTTATGCAATTACAAATTTATATTTCAAATTTCAATAAATTGCTTCGCTGAGCGCAGCTGGATACGACTGCAGAGGTCCAACCCTGAACAGTTGGGGCAAAAATGGACGCAATATTCGCGCTTGATACAGGTCTGAATTTGGATTGTAATTAAATATTTGACACATAAAAGGTTTCTGATACAGAATAACTGTAGTCAAAGAACTTAGAATTGGTTATATGATTTGAATTTATATTCAATTTTTTGTTTTTGTGCAATACACTTTGCTGTTGCAAATTGACCCCCCTCCCCCCACAAAAAAAAAAAAAAAAAATTACCCCCCCTCTTTTTTTTGCTTTTGTGCATATACTATACTGTTACATATTATCCCCCCCCCCCCCCCCCCCCCAATTTCTTTTTAATTTCTGATTAATTTCTTTTTAATTTCTGAAATCTGAAATGAGATGTATTTGAATTACCTCCCTTACACTGCTTTAAATTATGTTTTGTACTAAAGTATTTGTCCATTAACCAGGACACCCTTGTTTTCCCCCTTTTTTTGCCACTAATTCCTAAACAGTTTGAGCATAACCCCTCAAAGCAAATCCTAACCATCCATTTGTGGTATGGAAACTTGTGGTATAATTTCAGAGATTCATACACTGTTCCACAAGTTATTGTCTGGAAACTAGAAAAATGCTTATTTTTGGCCCCTTATTCCTAAACTGTTGGTACTATAACCCCCAAAATCAATCCCAACCTTCCTTTTGTGGTATTGAACCTTAAGGTAAAATTTCATAGAGATCCATTCACTTGAACTAAAGTTATTGTGCGAAAACCAATGTGTCTTTGGCCGACGACGACGACGCCAACGTCATACCAATATACAATTTTTGCGGTCGTATAAAAATACTGCTTTCAGGTGAGGAGAGATAAAAATGTTATGAGTTTGGAGAAGCTACTATGTATAGTACAGGATTTATTTTATAACTATATATTCTAGGTGGATTTAGATTTTTTATATTCTCAACATTCTATTTTTATAACATTGAATGAACTTCAACAATCTGTGATAAAAGTGGCACTATTAGTCCCCATCAGAATACCAATTATTTGACAGTTTACCTCCAAAACTAACATTAATATCAAGCATCAAACAAAAATCTAATTGTTTTTATCATATTCTTGCATGCCTGTTTAGTGCATTTTTGCAAGGTTTTTAACTCAAAAATTACACAAGTCAGAAGTAACGGTTGTCTCAAATATTGTCTTTCAGTATATATTTTTTTATGTTGTGTTATCGTCTTTAATTAGGCAATAAGTCTTTTTGAATTTTCTCATACAGTTTTTACACCGAGCATTATTTAATACAGAAATATGGTGATGTGGTATGATTGCCAATGAGTCAATTACATTGTGTATCCACCAGAGTCCAAATGATGTGGATGTAAAATAGCTTATTCTACATTTTACATTTTTTGCATATTGTTGAAGGCTGAATAGAAGCGTTCCCTGTTAACCACATGTACAAGGCAAACAGCCCAAGCCTATTCAAATATCATAAGAGTGTAAAAATTCAATTTATTAAATTATTTAATTTTTCTATTAAGAGATAGGCTTTTTGGCAAAAGTATCTCATGAAGGTTGGTACATCGACCTGAAGATATATTCATAATAGTGAAGGTACATGTATTTACTTTCATATCCCTTTGGTCTTGGTATATACATGTACAGTACACATACGGTGTTTCAGTTAAAATCATTCTTAGTGGTGAAAAGTAAAATAACAGAAATACCGATCTCTAAGGAAAAATAAAAATGGAAAGTCTTTTATCAAATGGCAAAATCAAAAGCCCAAACACATCAAACAAATGGAAAACAACTGTCATATTCCTGATTTGGTACAGGCATTTCCTCATATAGAAAATGTTGGATGAAACCTGGTTTTATAGCTAGCTAAACTTCTCACTGGTATGACAGTTCCATAGAATTCCATCAAATTGACGACAATGTGTGAGCAAAACAAACAGACGTTATAGGTAAAAATGTCAAAAATTGGGGTACAGCAGTCAATATTGTGTTATAATCTTAATCACTATAAAAACAAATAACTATTTCAACAAAGAAAAACAAAATGGCATATAGACTCTCTGTAGACAAAGTATAAAAGAAGAAATGAAAGACAAGAATAAAGAATTTTCACTGTAAAAATACTTCTCAGTATATTTTGTAGACATATCCAGAAAGGGAAGTTCCCAAACAAATCTTAAAATGGAACAACAACTTATTCACCCAAAACAAATTATTCAGTAGTTGAAGCAATGAACAAGTTGGTAAATCAATGCTTTTCTTGTATATCAAATCCATAATGGTAATTTGTCATGCTAACAACTTAGAAACATGCAAATATATATATAGTCACTATTACAAAGGCTTTACATTACAAAAATAGCTTATTACATGAATAATTAAAAGTATCATTTATTGAGTTTTTGAAAGTGCAATGAAGCATGAAAATTCAAATTTTAACAAATTGTCATCAGAACAATTAGAAGTCACTACTCTAACAGAAACTGAAATGTGTGTTACAGTGTAAGGTTTAGAAAGAACCTAGTCTATTAAATTTTTTTTTTAAAGTACTCTAGCTCCTATTAAACAAGTTCTAGACTTTCATTTAAATCCTACAATGTTCTAAAACTTTATTTAAATCCTACAATGTTCTAAAACTTTATTTAAATCCTACTATGTACTTGAGCTTCATTTAAATCCTACTATGTAATAGACCTACATTTAAATGCTACTATGTACTTGAGCTTCATTTAAATGCTACTATATACTTGAGCTTCATTTAAATCCTATATGTACCAAAACTTCATTTAAATCCTACTATGTTCTCAAACTTCATTTAAATGCTACTATGTACTTGAGCTTCATTTAAATCCTACTATGTAATAGACCTTCATTTAAATGCTACTATGTACTTGAGCTTCATTTAAATGCTACTATGTTCTAAAACTTCATTTAAATCCTACTATGTACTAGACCTTCATTTAAATCCTACTACATGTATGTACCAAAACTTCATTTAAATCCTACTATGTACCAAAACTTCATTTAAATCCTACTATGTACTTGCCCTTCATTTAAATCCTACTATGTACCAAAACTTCATTTAAATCCTACTATGTACCAAAACTTCATTTAAATCCTACTATGTACTAGACCGTCATTTAAATCCAACTATTTATTGGACCTTCATTTCAATCCTACAGCTTCCTTGAACTACCAACTCTCTCATATTTTTATACTTAAGTAACATGAATATGGCGAAATTCTCTCGTGCCACCTGGTATAAGTATATATTGTAAAACCAGCACGATATTAATTTTTAAATTTATTCATTGTGAAAAAGCCATTTCTTTTAAAAAATTACTCATGGGGGCTTGAATTTATATTAATTTTACCACTGGTTAACCCGTTATGATAAATTTTTTACCATGAGCGAAGATGTAAATATTGTGTGTGTTTCTGTTGGAAAAGAAGGACTTAATCATTGTTGCATTAATCATACAAAACATATTATTAATATTGAATAAATACAACATCACATGCCGTTTTGTGAGTTGATACATGTATTTTTATGATACTTCATGTACTTGGAAGATATAATTTTTGTATTCAGGTAAATTAATCAATGAGTGATCAATTTCTCTTAGAAGAAAAGGTCCCACTGAATAAACTACACAGAGAACAATAGCTATTGTATTTATTCAATGGGACAATAGAATTGACAAAAGTTTAAATACCTTGACCAAGAGGAGATGACTCTGCAGAAAAGTTTTATTTGGTTCGCAATATATCTTACTCTTTTTTAAATAAATGGCCTTTAAACAAATTCATATAATAGTTTGTTTATAATGTTTCCATGTTTTGAAGACTTAAACATTCATCCAATAAAAGCGCTGTTTCTTTGCTTTTTGTGTTTTTCCTATGCACATACTGATTTTGTGTCATGGATGGATACTATTTGCCTGTAAAATGCTTGTCTTACGTCGCAGTCTTCACCTATGTCATTTACACCAATTCACCTCAGTAATTTATTCAGGGGTATGCTTGGAACAGCCAAAACAAATCATGATGTTGCTGATCAGATGACATACAATATATTAGTATTTTACAATGGGTGGTTGCAAAGTGTTTGAAGAACGTCATATCATGATTCCTGTTCATCCATGCCCTTGTACAACCTCCTGAGAAATATTAAAATATTTAATCTTATAGAAGTGGAGAAATTTGCTAGACTATTGTGTTTACAATTAGATCAAAGTGGCTTTCTAAATATGCATGAAATTTGCCACTACATGTAAAGCAAACAACAATCAACAAATCTGACAAATCATGATTACTTACCAGAAAGTGAGGTAATACTACTGCTTTCCTCATGGACAAACTTCCGCGTTACTGCTTCTTCCATTATCTGCTTTACCTGAAATTATCAAAATATTATACATGTTATATCTCAGAATTAAAGTCATATATATGAATCTTCAAATTCAAAAAAAAAAAGACGAGTATGTTTTATATACTTGAATGGCTAAGTTTTACTATAAAACAAGTGTACATGGACTTTTTTGTAAAAGAAAATCATTTATCTTATAAAAATCTTCAGAAATGTACTGCATTTTGAATTATTGTCCTCTGGTACTCTAATTTGGTGATACATATACCTTTTCCATATGCAGTGACCTTAACCTAGAGACCTCTTGATAAAACTTCAGCAACTGCACAGCGTAAGTGTAAGGAATAAAACCATTATCAAAAGAATGTAAACAAACTTGCACTGGAAGGTAAATAGTGTAAAATTGATTCGGAAAGAACAATTCGTACATCAAATCATTTAACAACTGTAATGGCAATGTTCAATTAACAAATGGAAACTCACGGAAAATATAAAAAAAAATTAATATTGCTCTATCAACATGATCAACTGACTTATTTTTCACATTCTCCATGATTCTGTGTTAATTGTTTATCAATGTCACAATCTGGTAAACTTTGGCAACAAACTTGAAGAATAACTAGAAGCTACAGTTTGCAAAGAACACTGACTGAATGAAATATTTTTTTATGATTATGCATTATGGGTTCGTAATAAATGTACAAAAAAAAGGGCTTAGAGGACTTAGTTTAGTATATATGCATGCGTTTGTTCAATAATTTCTGTAACATTATAATTACAAGAAACTCGTTGCATATATGACTTCAAGAATGATCATAGATATACTAATAGTCACTTTAAAATATATATGTAATAAACAAAATAAATTTTACTTAAATACAAACTGTACAAAGAACATCTTCATGTAAATCATTATCTTGCATTATATTATAACCATTTAATACTCAATATAAACAAGGAGATGTTGCATGATTGCCAATAACTGGTAGACAATCCACCAGAGACCTAAGAAGAAGGACATTGAACAACTATAGGTCACTATACAGCCTTGAACAAAAGTCATACCATATAGTTAGTATTAAGCTATAAATGGCTATTTCATGACAAAAATACATAGCCATATACGAATAAATGAGACAATGGTCTAGTTTTGGGACCAGGAAGCCTAGAAGGTAAACTGATAAAAGTAAATGACATCAAAATATACCACTTAAAGTACTAAGTAAGCTAATAATAATTTAAATCATCAGTAAAACATTTCTAAAGGGATGCAAGAATCCCTAAATATATGTAATCAGTTATTTCAATTAGGGTCTTCTGGGAGTTTGAATTGATGTGTTTACAAATTTTCTCATTAATTGCTCAAGAGAAGATGACTACTGACAAGTTGAGCTTCTCATTACCTAAAATTTTAAAACATTCTGCCATGTTACGTTTCAGATGAGAAGATTACCTCTGGTAACAATATTATTTATACGATAAGAATGAAATGAAAATAATTTGTGAAGAACCTTTAATTGAAGACAAGTCTTGTAGTTTCAGAAAAAAAATTGAAAAATTGACTTTTCTTCAATAGGAATTAATGATATATCTATAGGCCACTAATGCCACCATGTTAGTCACCAGGTCATTTGTAGGAAGTTAATTTCAATATTGGCTAATCAGAATCAAAGATTGTCTCTAGAGGCCAAGTTTCTTGCCCAATCAGAAGTATAATACAGGCAAAAGATACCAAAAGGACATTCAAACTCATAAGTCAAAAACAAACTGACCATCCTATGTCAAATAACAATAAATGAGTAACTGACTTGATTTCAGAGGAAGACCTTCTCTACATTATACATGCTACGTTTGGTTAAAATTCAACTTTATAAGTACTTTATTTGGCCTTTTAACTTTTTTGATATGGGCATCACTGGTGAATATTTGGTAGAGGAAACGCTTCCGGCGAACAAAATTATTTATAAGCCTGGTATCTTTGGTTAATTTTGTTTTGGAAATGTAGTTTCAGAGATTAGTAACTGGACATTTAAAGCAACCAACAATCAATCAATCATCAGAGATTGAGAGATGAAAAAGTAAATTGGAAAAAAAACTATACTAACTGGTTTTTATACTGAATCATCTGGTGTTTTACTGTAATTATATATAAACTACTGATGATAAAAGGATTGTTGTTGGTTGTACAGTGACCAATAGTTGCTTGCTTCTAAGTCATTTGGTTTCTGTTGGAGAGTTGTCTCAATTGGCATCCATACCACATCTTCTTATTTTTATATTTTTAACATTTAAATAACCACTGAAATTTCTGTTTCATGATTATTTTTTATCTTTACATTAATTAATCAATACAGCCAAGCACTACTTCCAAGTCAACCTATTTTCAAAACAAGACAAGACACTTTCTCATAAGAGCAAGTCTATTTGTTTCCAATAATATTTTGTGATTAGATTTTATCTAGTAACCTGAAAAAACCATATAAAATTTACACCGCAACCATTTACTGAAAGACAACACAACCCTATTAATTTCCAACCACAATTACGATTTTACCAACAAATAGATTACAGGTCCCTAATGGACAGGAACTGACCTATCAATGTGACAGACAAATGTATTTTTTTAATCATCTGACTTCAGAATTTATTACTGAGGAATCTGATTATGACATATGTATGTGGGCGTTTAGGAAACTGCTATAACCATTGATTTACACTTTTGTGTATTGATTTTTGGGTCATTTTCTAAAAACAAACAAGAATGGCACTTTTTATAAGCATGTCATTTGTAATGAAATGGAGTTTTTTTGTTCTGACATAATGTTTACAAGTATAAAAATATGTGTTCTTAATTGATATGAATGTTTGATTTCCATTTCAATTTCCTCCAAATAGAACTTAAATATTGACCTGATTTTTTATATAACTATTGGAAAACATAAATGTAAAACTTATCAAATATGTATTAAACAGAGGCTGACTATATATATAAAGTCTAGCTTTCTTTGTGATTCTAACCTAATTTTGTCAAATTGGAAAAAATTCTTGAGTTTAGGATTTCACTCCCTACCGTAGTTTATATGCCTCAAAACACCTACCCTAGATTATATCTACACTTTGGTAGTGAATTTTAAATTTCTTATCTTGCATTATACAAAAGGTAAAAAAAATAAGCAAACTAAATAAATTTATTTACCAACCTGTTTTTTCTACGGGATGAAACCCTGAATATACATATTTTCCTTAATTGAAGTCTATTTTTGGCTAAATTGTAAGTAGCCAGATAATAAAAATCTTTTTCAAACTGACATATTTACTTGACAAAATGCTATATATTCTACCAAATAACTGCCTTCTAATTTCAAAGAGGAACTACAATGAAGGAAGATTTCTGTTTTATTGGATACTTTTATTCAAATAATCGATTTCAGGTTCTAAATAAATTGGTTTTACCTAAAATAACAAGACTGGTTGATTGGAAATTAATTGAACATTTACAACAAATTTCACATGGGAATAGTAATTAACAGTCAATTTAGTAAATTGGATTGAAAAGTATGGAATATGATTGATTGATTAATTGTGTTCAATGTCTCTTTCAGCACTCACAGCTACATGTAATTCATTGCCGCCAGTTTAATTTGTGGAGGAAGCCAAGTACATGGAGAGAAACGTTGAACTTCAACATGAAAACTGGTATCCAATTCAGTGAAGATCAGAGTCAACACACCTTGGAACCAGTAGGGTTTGAACTGACAAACTCAGAGTTGACCTCCTACTGATCACTGTAGATGTGCTACTCAGACCTGTGACTTGGCCATCGTATGCCACCAAAATATGGAACATGAATTCCAAGGAACAGGAACACTATAAAGTTTAATAAGGTCTTTTTAAATAAACATACTAAACATTACCCTCTCAACTTTATCATTCATTTCTTTAAATTTAAACTTATCAAAAATTAAGATACGTTCTGTAACTTTACAAATTATAGCATCTCCTGTTAATTCAGTTGACATTATGGACATGATGGAAACTTGTTTATTTTTCAAGGAAAACAGCATAAAAATGATTTAAAACTTTTATATATACCAATAATATAAAGTAAAGTTTAAACATTATAAAACAATTTACAAGAAATAAGTAAAAGAAACAAGAGGCACCACTGTGCCTGTATTTCTCACCTGGTGAAAAATTCCTTAGTTTAATTGCTAATTAGGACTATTTATTACACATACTATAGTTACTCTTTCGGTTGCAGATCATTTTTTTCAATTTACATATTTTACCCAGCTCCTATAGGTTTTTAGACAACAGCCAAAACTGTGAAAAACAGTAAAAATCAAAATTTCAGGGGCAATAACACCAAAATGGGTTGTCAAATTTTCAGAGTACGGTAAATAAATCTTGTCATACTGATAATTTTTGCAGTTTGTACTTTTAACCTAGCTCCTATAGTTTTCAAAAATCACAGATGAAAAATTGGAAAAAATGTATATTTCAGGGGCTTTAACTCAATTACAGGTTAACATGAAAACAACCAACAACTGCTTAAAATTGGAGAGAGAAAATCAAAATTTCAGGGGCAATAACACCAAAATGGGTTGTCAAATTTTCAGTGTAAAAAATCTTGTCATACTGATTATTTTTGCAGTTTACACTTTTAACCTAGCTCCTATAGTTTTAAAACAAATGACAAGGAATGCAAAAATTATAAAAATCAACATTTCAGGGGCAATAACTCCAAATTAGGTGGACAGAACTTGTTGTGACAATATACTTTATTTTGTGGTGATCATTTGTACCCATTTCAGTTTTTCTCTGACTCCTATATTTTTAGAGATATTATCATTTCTTAGCAAAAGTTCAAAAATCATTCTAAATATGATCTAATTTGTTTGATCTTTTTTGTCATGACGACTTAAATTTTAAATTGTTTCCATATTTCTTCTGACTGTTGGATTTGCCATAAGAAAAATCAAAACATATCTTGAGGTCAACCTTCATGTAGGGTCTTCAACAAAAGGCAGGTGTCTATACTGGCGCGGGACATTTATTCTTTTTGAAAGGACATTTGCGCTTTTATAAGTGGACATTTGTGCTTTTTTAAAAAGGACATTTGCGCTTTTTCTACAGGACATTTGTGCTTTTAATTACAGGACATTTGAGCTTAATGAACATAACACTTGAGTAATTGTGGTTAAAAGTTTTATAAAATGAGCTGCGTCGAATAGAAATCGACCTTATGCAAGTGCACGTATACATGTTCATTTATAAGACTTTGATTAATTTTTTGAACATTCAAATACAAAATCAAAGATGAATTTAGGCCTATTTTGTAGGGTTCCTGTACCGACTCAATTCTCAAACAGTTACAGACTTTGCATAAAGATTTTTGCAACCCGAAATAAGTTAACAAATGTATTGATATTCATTTGCATAAGGTCGATTTCTATCCGAAGCATCTCAAATCATCTAATATCCAAATCACAGCACATTCACATTTTCTTTCTTTAGTTGCTAGGTTACTTTTCCATTGACCAATACATGTACACCCACAGAATTCTTCTTTTTTGGGGGAAAATTAATTTCAATAAGTCCATGAGAATTTTGAAAATTACAAATTATTCAGTAAGTGACAAAAAAAAAACATCTTTTATTTGAAGAAATAAAGAAACTGTAATAAGTTTGTTTTGTGAAATAAAAAGAATATACATATAACCATCGCACTTTAAAAAATCTTGATACAACTGCTCGTCAAAAAAAGACATTAATTTTGAGTGCTCACAAAGATATATAATTGTTTCTTTTTAACATAGAGATAAATGGTTATAAAATTTCACATCCCACACCTAGAAAGTCTGAGGTACTAAAAATATCGCCATCATGCTTTTGGCAAATGGAATGGATGTAAATTCTTATAACACCATGACTCTCTCTTCAAATTAAACCAGAACAGCATGTGGTGAGAAAAGTTAATTTTCGTCTCCGCAAATTGAAACAAGCTTAGAGAAACTATGATGGAAGAGTTCTGAGAACTTTTTAAACGATAGAATGAACATAAGAGGAATATGGTTTCTTTATCTGTATTTTTAATCCAAAATGGTACATGTACATGTATAAAGCTCCTTAAAAAAAATCAGTGCAGAATGTGTCATCAATAAAAATTTCGTTTTATCTATATTTTACTTGAATAAATTTTTTGTGATTTTGTGGTCTGGCAGGTTAACTTTCAAAAAATGTGTGAATATCATCTGTTGACTTTGGTAAATTTGGTTTAGATCAAGGTAAACTTTCATAGGTAAAAAGCTAAAATGTCTGGTCAATTTAGTTCAGGTCTATCAAAGTTTAAAGCACAAATGTCCATATTGTTAATGCGCAAATGACCTTTTTGTGTTACAAGTAAAAAAGCGCAAACTGAATCCTGCGCCCGTCAATACAACAATTGAATCTTTTTAAATTACCTGAGTGTAAACAGATTAATATATAACAAATAACAACCACTAATAAGGTTGTTGCATGTACTTCATAGATTTCATACAGCAACTCCATTAACAGTACAGGGACCCTATCTTGCAAAATTCCAAGGAACAAACTGTACAGAATTTCAATGAAGAAAAGCAATAGTAACACTTAATTAAGTCTTACATCAATCTATAAATCAACAAATCAATATAAAAATAAAGATGATTTTCATATGAAAAAAATGCTCATATGAAAAAAATCCAGACACAATGACTGAACAGCAGTTTAATTAGAACCTTTCTCAATAAGACTATTAAGCAAATAAATGAATTTATTTGCTTCATCCTGATCATGCATGAATTATTTGCTACTTGGTTGCATGAAATATTTGCCACTGGGTGTTAAGAAAACTACAATCTAGCTACCAATAAATCATTTCATTTCACATGGCAAAATATCATACATATTATATTCACCCTGTATGGAATGAAGTGTAATGAAAATTTGGATTTGCTTGCAGCTTACTTAATGTGTTTGCTAAAAATATTTTTTGTCCAATAAAAAAATCAAAAATTTGTGTTCTGGAAAAGTTGGCAGGCCTGATAAAAAATAGTTCTGTTGATTAAAACTGGGTGTCATACATGAATCTATTGGTCCCAGATTAAACACATTATTTTCCAATATTGATGATGTCAAATGAAAAATGTATGTCATAACTTTTATTTCTGTTTTTCTTAATTTATGCTATCTTTGAAAATCAGGGTAGAATTAGTGCTGTCCCAGAATTAATCAATTGAAAACTGTAATTACTTCTCCACTGACACATTAAACATAAATTATGCTATTGATTTTTGTATCAATATTAAAGGGATGTTATGTGTGGTTCCACAAAGTTAAACAACATCAAGAAACTAACCTCTTTCTTGACAGCTCTTAACAGATTCTGTCGGTTTTCTGATTCTGAAAAAAAAATGAGAAAATAAATACTTTACTTTTATAAAAGGATTATATGATAGGAAAGCATACTGGCTGAAAATTTGAATCATAATATATACATAATAAATCAAATGTTTAACCAATAAACCTCACCTGTTGGATTCTGGCCTTCCATTTTGAGCTTCAGATCTGCTGAGAGCTCAGAAGAGTCCAAAAGTCCCAGATGTAACATTAATATTTCATACTAAAACGTAAGCCCTTGAACTCCTTCTATAGTACTAGCCTCACAGTACTATGTGTATTGAAGATGCTCGGAACAGTTACCACAGATAATCAACATCCATGAATATTGATTAAACAAGGAACCAATTATCATATTCGCATCATTTTGTATTCAAGACCACCGGAAGTACCATTGCAGGGATATTTTTTATGTCGTTTATAGGTCATGTGTGCTTTAATTTATGTTATTTGATCTGTAGACTGGAAAAGGGTGTTGTTTTCGTCTGTTTTTCAAGCTAATTTGTTGGTAAACAAATGCACCGGAAATTCAGGGATCCTTAAATGGGAACCGGTTAACTTTTCAGTTTTATACTATAAATATAAACAAAATACACATATATGTAATCATTAATGATCCGATATCATTTTTATTGTCTAAAATAGTAAATTAAAAGGTAAAATTTTGAGGATTTCTATGTTTATTTTGCTCACATTAATACAGTAATAACCTCTCCCTACAAAAAGTTAAGCAAAGAACCAATAACAAAGTTACTTCACAATAATGTAAGAAAGTACATTAAATGCAGCTTACAAAACGCTTTATTTTGAATTAAACCCGAGTATTGGAATTCTTTATTATAAAAGGGGAAATTTTATTATTTAAATGCTTACATATATTTCCTTGTTAACTAACAGTGTATTGCCGCCTATTAATGAAAGGATTTTGTTTTTACACACAATTTACAGAATAGGGCAACGTTTAAGGTAGTTCGGGGATGTGAAAATAAAAATAACAGATTAATTCTCTTGTTTACTAATATGTAGTTTGTAGCAAAATGTCAAAATAATATGATAAAAATCTAAATCGGCGAGTTTGTCTTCAAACTGATAGTGCATAATTCTCTTAATATCATCTCTATTGATATGCTAAATTAATCAATTAATAATCTTATTACTCAAACCAGTGACTATTACTTCTGGAAGCGATGTAAGATGTATCAAAGTGAGTTTCCCGCTCCTTATGGATCAACATACGTGGTTATTGTATAGACTTTTTACCCTAACGCTTTCGTGTTGATGACGCCCTTCCAAATGATCCTCGATCTGTATCTGTTCCGGCCGACGATCAATATCAGGGGTAAATATCCCACGATATTTCAAAGATAAATTTACACCTTAATTATCCCACGATATTTCAAAGATAAATTTACACCTTTCATTTCGAAAAACTACGTAAAAGATCCCTAATATGAAAAAAGGTATAAATTAGGAATTGTTGGTCATAAACCCCAAAATCATTGATTCAAACAGAGACATAATATACGTCAAGAGATTGGTAGCTAGGCGAAATTTCATGATATCAAGTGACTCTCATGATTTCATTAAAAGTGTTAAAAAAATTGAAAACAACACGTTTTATAATTTCATGCGTGACGTCCGAAGCGCTTTTCTGGATTTACCTTCATCAGGAAAGCTCAATGCCAAACATTTGAAATCCGAAGGATGTATAAGTACCGAAACAGTTGAAGAGCTATATGACAAAAATACCTGAAACAAATAGCCAAATTCATCTGTCAACTTTGCCTGAGGGAGTTGAAACCTTAGTTTCTTTATAATTTCAAAATTTATAAACGGACAATTTTAGAAAAGTTTGTTATAAATCATGTCAGTACCGAAGTACTGACTAAAGTATGATTACAAATTTTATTTTCTGACTAGTTACACACACATATTTAAATAATACCTATAAATACCAAAAATCATTTAGATTTGTATGCTTTATACAATTATATTTGTACAATCAAAACTTGGCAAGAAAAAAATATTTTGAAATTTGAAATGGCTGCAATTCTAAAATCAACGTCTAAAGACATTCGACCGAATTGGCGGGTTATGGACTTATTCAATTCCCGTTATTTTTATTTTTTTCAATTACAATAGATGAACTTACTATATACACATGATGGGAGTTATTTTTTTTTTAGCACAGACTTGTAATTTAAAAGTGATGGATCGAAAACAATTTAATGCGTGTACGAATATCTTGATGAAAATTTTGATTCAGTTGATAAGGGTGTTTATGTATTAACAGAACATCCTTTTTTAACAATATTTTTTAAAATATGTAAATAATTATGTGAAAAGCAATGTAGCGGTGCAAATCATTTATGTACTAGTATATTGACTATAAAGACAGTGAAAGGGAGATATAGAATGCCTTTTCATGTCGGAGCATTTTATAGTTTTTCTCAATCTTCTATAGATTTTGCTCAAAAAAGGGTAAAAGTTGTAATTTAAGAGCACTAATTCCTATTTGAAGACAACACACAATTTCATCTTTGCTGACCTGTTTGTAGATCTTGTCTTACTGATCATTTTTGCTTTTTAAAGTTTCTATTTATTCATGTACATCAGTTTTAAAGATCATAGGCAAAAGTGCAAAACAAAATGATAAAAAACATCACTTTTAAAGAAGTTGATTAAAAATTCCAACCATGTTAAATCGTTTGTAGATCAATTTCTATTTATCAATTATATAGTTTCAAGATAAAAGGCAAAAACGCACAAAAGTGAAAATTGTCATTGAAGGGCAATAACTCCTAAAAGGAGTTGACTGACGATTTTAGTCATCTGGCTTATTTGTAGATCTATAAGATAATAGACAAACTTTATATTTTGCCCCTATGTTCTACTTTAAGCCATGTAGGTCATGTTGGTTGGCCAGGCAGACTCATGCGACACATTTTTTTTTTAAATTAGAAACCCCAATGATGATTTTTGCCAAGTTTGGTTCAAAGTAACCCAGTAGTTTCCGCGGAGAAGATTTTTGTAAAAGTTAACGGAAGACGTTAAACGACCGCACGACGACGATATGTTTACTGACGATGACAGATGACGGGGACGACGATGACGATAGGCGACGGACGACGTCGATGACGAATATAATAATAATAATAATAAATTCTTTATTTAAAGAGGGTAACTCAATTAGAAGTAGTCTAATTTTCATTGAGGCCCTCAAACAAAATACATGTGTACAGTTAACATTAATACATTCGATTCATACATTAAAATACAATACATATTACTAGTATATACACAATTCAATCATTCAAACATACAAATGGCAATAAATGGCAATAATTGGTAAAGTTTTGATTAAATTTTCTTATTCTTACAATAAAAGAAAGAAAACAAATTATTCGACTCGCATAGAATTTTCAAGAAAATGATTATAACAATGTTTCTTAAATAATTCCACATTTCGACAATTTTTTATTTTGAGTGGTAAATTATTCCATACCTTTGTTGCAGAATAATGAAAAGATTTTTTATAAAAATTTGTGTTTGGTCTTGGAACAAATAGATCATTATTAGAGACAGATCGTAAGTTGTGGTGTTGCACATCATTAATATTTAGCATTGTTAAGTAATCAGGTGTTAGTCCATTTACAATTTTATACATTAGAATTGATTGTTGGTATTTTATTCTTTTTGTAAAAGATAGCCATTTTAAAGATGAAAACATAAAATTAGATGGAACAGAAATATCGCATTCAAGTATAATTCTTGCTACTCTTTTTTGAAGTTTTATGATTCTATCTGAATCTTTTTGTAATAAAATTCCCCAAACTGAACTACAATAGTCTATATATGGTAGAATATATGCATTATAAAACAGTTGTCTTGTGTGTATAGGCAAATATACTTTAATTTTGAACAATAGTGATATTTTAGATGAGATAATCTTGCATATACGATCAACATGATCCTCCCAGCTTAAATTTTCATCAATGTCAATTCCAAGTAATTTGAAAGAATGGACATTTTCAATACATGTTTCATTGACGGTAATACATAATTCTGATAGTTGTGTAAGTTTTTGTTTTGAACCCAATTTCATACACTTTGTTTTTTGTGCATTAATTTTCATACTGTTATTGTTACACCAAGATTGTATAGCATTTAAATCATTTTGCAATATGCTGTTTATTTTTTCAATGTTTTTATTATGAAAATGCAATGTTGAATCATCAGCATGACGACAAACGCCAAGTGATTGGAAAAGCTCACACTGACCCTTCGGGCCATGTGAGCTTAACAAGCAGAGATTCTGATCCATACGAAAAACTTCAAAGAAGAAGTAAAAGAAATTATATTTCTAATTAAAGGACATACTATTTGACATGACAATAAACATCAATAATTTGAGATAACTTTAAACCATTTAGATTAATAACGTCCAATTAAGGAAGTTGATATTGGGGTCTATTGTAAGACATAACACTATACATGTATGATTAGGACCTCAAACTATGCATGTCAGATCTGGAAGACCTCAAACTATGCATATCAGATCTAAACTAGCCAGACTACCTCCAAGAAATAGAATTCTTAAGACTCAATAAGATATCTAAATAATCTATTATTACAACTAATAATACCCTTGTTCATAATGTATAACGGAAATACACAGTCATAATCCATGGACTAAAATTATTATAATTTGTAAAAGAGAATTGAACTTTTCGTTCTTACGCAACCACCAGTTTACAGTTTCGATCAAGCCATTTTAAGATACTTAAAGTAACGTTTATTGGTCAAACTTTACAGTTATAGAATGCCAGTAAAAATGACGATGTAAAATCATCTTTCTTTTAATTTTTAAAACTCTTTCAAGTTTATAAAAGTAGTGAATTGTATCAATAAAAGTTCTTAAAAGTACTATGCAAGAAATGTTTTTTTGTAGCCGTTTGCTTTCTCATTGAGGCAATCGTCTGCTCTCGTCAAACCTTCCTAGCACCGAATGATATTGAAATTAATTAGCTACTTGGGACGTTGCATTCTTACATTAAAATTATTCTGTTTGTGGTAATCACATTTATTCCATCATGGCTTCGACTGGAGGGTCTCACCTGTCAAGTGGAAAAATAAACCTGAGTTTATTGAGAGATTTTTACAGACGTGAGCTTTTAGAAGCTCTAGACAAATGTCTTGGCTCTAAGGCAAGCAGACTAATAATTAATATATTTGTGGTTTATTTTAGTTATCCGCAAATTATGGAAACAAGAGTAAGCTAAGGGGGCGGAAACCAATATAAGGTGATCCCTCGGACCCTTGGGGGTTTGTGCTCTCTCACTTTTTGTATGTGTATTGCAAAGTAAATTTTATTTAACATTTCAACTTATTTAATGAGTTCATCATTTTATTCATACACTATTGTACCAACAGTAGTTTATTATGCTGCCCCTCTTTAAGACTATATTCTAATTTTCCATGTACAAGACGAAATTATAGAAGTACAGGATGTCTATAAGCTACTGTTATTGTAATTTTATACCTGGATTTGTGAGATGATCTAAGCTGGGACTATTATACTAATGGGATTAGAATCTTGTAGGTTTTTTCCTTATAACATGAACAAACACCCGGTTGCGGCGAGATTTTATGAGACTTGCAAGGATTTGGAGTGAAAGATGTCAACGGCTGTGTAAATTTACCGAATATATTTAAATGATCATCAAAAACGCTTTATTGTTAAGTTTTAAACCAAACTAAATATAATTTATTAATTAAAATGACACATAAACATGATAAAAGAGATTTTCGGGTTGTGAAGTGATTCAAAGCGTTGTGAAATGGTCACTGATTTATGGCCACCGCTTTTCATTTATTATCCCTTTGCATTTAGGCACACTTCTGTAACGAAATATATGCATATATAACTAAAATAAAGCGACAAAGTTAAAATTTATTGTTTTTGACTTACGAAAGAAATGAATTTAATCATGTTAATGACATACCATCAGTAATTACTACAACAATAATTTTCTACTGTGAAAACAATTTTTGATGAACACACATAATATTTAACAAAATTGTTAATTCTTAAAATTCAATATTTAAAAGAAAATGGCAATTAATTTCTCATGTGAATAAACATAATTGTGTCTCTGAGACATAATATTTTCACCATGTTCACAGTATGACATGTAAATGTATATTAGGTGTAAATGATTTGATTACCAGGTAAATCACAACATGTTCAAATGAGTTTATATTGACATCTTTTACACAGGAAGTTCAATGGTTACTACACTACAGGAGTTCAAGCATTTGAAAACAATTAAATTCCCAATGTAAAATAAAATATCAACAACTCTTTAAATTTGTATCATATACACTGATATATATAAACAATAAGGTTTTATTAAAGGGGGGGGGGGGGGGGGGGTTGTTGCTAGCTTATATTTATCATATGAACATAATTTTTACAGAAGAAAAGAATTCTTGCAACAACAAAAAAATGCAATTTGTTGGATAGAAAGTCACAGGACATTGTACATGTTATCATATATTTTTTTTTATTGTGTCGCAGTTGATAATATGACAGTCAGGGGTACTACTTATACAAGTAATCTTTATTTACTTGAAGAAGTAAATAAAATATACTTATACAAGTTAATTATATTGTTTGAATAATCTCCCCTTAATTTTCTAAAAAATTTACTTGTAGTAGTAAAATTTTTTTACAATCCCACAAAAATTCTCAAGTTTTGAGATGTAAAATCATGCCTTAAACAATTTTTATCAGGTTAGCTCATAATTTTTGATAAGAGTTCAATGTTTCATCTCATTAATTCAACAAAGAAACTGATTGAGCAAAGATCTTAAGTATTTGAGCAAGGCCATCAAAAATTGCTCCTTGGGGGCTTGTAAATGAGCAGTGTTCTAAAGCTTAAGATAACAGACAAATGAGATTTTCATTGTCCATGAAATTACACTTAAATGATCATGAATAGTAAAGACATCTGCAAAGGACAAACAATTCAAAATTCTGTTAGAGCAAAGAAGTTCTAAGAATTCAAGAAAAGAAGATAGGATGACTTTTTTACTTGTATAAGTAAAAAAATCTGAATGTCTAAGGGACATAACTAGGCCAAAAAATAATTTACTTATACAAGTAAATAAAATACACTTGTATAAGTATCCTACAAATTTACTTATATAAGTATATTATAATTACTTCTTCAAGTAAATAAAAATTACTTGTACAAGTAGTACCCCTGATTGTATGAAATTAAAAACAAACAAAAAAGGAAAGAAAATTGCTGTTTTCCCTAATAAATAAACTTATTGTTTATTTTATCATTTTGGAATCAATTAGATATTTTTAACAAACTTCAGTTTAACAGTTATGGGCTTGTGTATTTTACTTGAGAAACTTAACGAAACATGAACATGATGAACAAAGCCTTTTTTATAGTCGTCTTGGGATACTTTTCCTAGTTGGTATACAGAATTGAAAATTAGATAATTATTTCTTTAATTACGTTTATTAAGTTCCTTTGATCATGTTGATTGGTAATCAATAGCATAATAATTACAATAATAAATTTCTACTAAGAAAACAATTTGTAATCAAAACTATTGTGATAAAAACTATTTATCGAAATTATTTATTTTTTAAGGTTAAAAGCATAAACACTGTTGTTGTTTTACTGGGACTCTGTTCTAAAAAAAAACAACACATTCGAACACTTTTTAAGTGAAAATTCGATTTTTATTGTTTAATAATATGAAATACAATGTAGATACGAAAAGGAAAGAAAAGAATAATCGCAATTGCCGTTTTTTCTTTTAAAAACAACTTAAGTTTCTGTATTATTGTTTATTTTATCATTTTGGAATTAATGAAATATCTTAAAATTAGTTTTATAAAATATAAGAAAATTTCCAATCATTATTTTAAAACCGTTTCAATTGAATTTGTAATGTAGAGCCGTATGTATCGTCAATTATAGCAATACGTAATTTGACACATCTCTGTTTCCGTTACATATCAGTAATTAGAACTGACGCGACAAGGAAATTGATATGATTGTTGAGTGTCAAGTCCTGTTAGTGTTAATATATTATGTCCCAGATCTAAGTCAAACAACTTCTTTTTTGTGACATGTTGTGAAGATCGTGCTATTCCCTGTTCCTGATCATGATTAAACTTTACCTGTGCCAGGGAAAAATACATAATTTATCTATTTCTGCATTATTTGTACTTATTATATAAGACGACAAACAGACACACAATAAAACCACATAATATTATAAGCTTTGATTAACAAATATATATAGCTAAATGTCTGAAAGACTGAAATGATTTCCTTCAATTATTGTATGGATAAGAGCTTCAACATCTATGTATCTAGTTAAGGGAGTTAACTCTTACATTATTTAGTTCTTGTTTTCTTTATTTTTCTTATATTTTATATGTTTATATAGTAATATTGATATTTGTAAGCTTAGATTGTATTTAAACAGGATCTAAATCTAATTAAGGCCAAAAATAGAATATTGTTTGTTTCTCAAAACCAATCACTACCCTTTCAGACATGGCCAGGGAGGCCAAAAAAATTTAACATGGTACAGTAGGTAGGAAGAAAAATAATTATGTTTTTTTCCAAATAACTAAAAGTTTGTATACTGAAATTAGGAAACAATAAAAATTTGACTTCTGGTATTGCAGTCATAAAAATTTCAAGCACAATTATCATACTCAGATTTTAGAAATCAACCAATTAAAATACTGGATTTGGTGTTTCAAACATAAATTTTGTACTGTGTGTATTGAGTAAAGTTTTATGGCCAAGAGCAGGACTTATTTACACAAGAAAACACAAAAACCATGTAAACATAAGTTCTGAAGCCTTTCACTGTATTTTACTTGCATATAACATAACATATCAGGTACAAGAAGGTACAAATTGCAGAAATAACATGTAAAACATTCTACAAAAATAGTTTACTTCTGACTTCATCTTTGTCAGATTTTGGAACCAAAAAAAATCTAAGAAAGTATGTAGTCATGCATAATATGCACCCCTTCTTATAAACCTACCTTAAGGAAAAAATCTTCGTATTTTACACAACTGAAAACGGACAAAAAGAGTTAATTATAGAAATTCTGGTGTACAAAATATCAGTCTTTGTATCTTTGAATACTTTATTAACATTTAAAAAAAAAACATGATGTAATTCAATATATGGATAGATACAGTAGAAGGAATGTAAAAAATTCGAGAAAAACTGTACAAGTGCTGTATGGCCAAAGCATTTGCACAGAATGTTTAATAAAAATGTACATAAAATTGATTTTGACAGCCACTGTTGACAATGGTATAGTAGCACACTTGTTGTTATTTTAAGTTAATGCTAGAACATGAACTTCAAGGCTATTTCCAGGCAGTTACATTGAATTTTAGAAGACACAGCTTTCAGTTAGAATTTGAAATTTTCTGATCACAATCTAATTGAAATACACATCCTGTGATTATGACTCGCTTACAAGGAACTTGCGACACACCATTCAGCTTTCTTTTATGATAATCATTAGGGCCCCGCCGAATGGCGGACGCCCTATAGTGATCAGTTTGTCCGTCCGTCCGTCCTTCCGTAACAAATTGTGTCCGCTCTATATCTAGAGAACCGTTATGATTTCAAAGTTTATACTTGACATGTATATTAACCAACACCAGAGGGTGTGTCATAATGTATGTACAACTTCCTAGGTCAAAAACTTTGGTTTTAGTTGACAACCCCATGTCCTATGGTAAAGATCGTGTCTGCTCTTTATCTTGAGAATCGTTATGATTTCAAAGTTTATTCTTGATATGTATATAAACGAACACCAGAGGGTGTGTCATAATTTATGTACAACTTCCTAGGTCAAATGTCAAGGTCAAAAACTTTGGTTTCAGTTGACAACCCCATGTCCAATGATAAAGATACAAATTTTTTACCACACATTATTCACAGCGGGGCCCACAGAGATGGATCCCATCTCAATGATATCTAGTTATTCCTCTAAATTTTTAAGGTGTGTATCATAATAACAATATTGAGGGATGAAGAAAAGAACAGAAAATAAAACAGGAGTGCAATGAGCATAGACAATATTCTTTTACCACTTTTAAGTTCCTAAACAGTAATTTAACTGAAAGGAGGTCAAACATTATTCTTGACCTTTCTTTTTTTTAGCTAGACTTGAACTATTGAGTCAATATAAATTTAAACTACTGTACTAATGTATCAGGTATTGGATTAAAATGGACTCTCAGTCTAACAATAGGAAGTATGTTAGAGATTTATTTGATAACAGTGATTTTTTTTTTAGGCATTAGTATGGGATAGTGATTTGACTGGACCTTTTGGTTTAATAGCAGAATATTCTTTACTGAAGGTAAATATTACAATGAATTTGGGTTAAGAAATAGTTTTTTTATATTTTCTTTGATTTCTGATGATGTTATTTTGGTTTTTAAACGAACCTCTTCATTTACAGTAAACACCAACAAACTGGACATGTATTTTTATATTTCACTTGATTGTACATTGTAAGTGATACTACAGGAACCAGTAAAGAATCTCTCAACCCTTTTTACAAATTCATGTTTCACAGGATAATGCTAGTGATTAAGCATTCTTTACTGGTACTCTCAAATATCTTTATATATTCAGTAGATACCTGTTTTATGTAACAATATAAAAATAAGAAGATATAGCATGATTTCCAATGTGACAGCTATCTACCAGAAACCAGACGTAGAAATTAGCAACTATAGGTCACCATACAACCTTCAACAATGAGCAAAATCCATACTGCATAGCAATCAATAAAAGGTATCGAGAAAATCAACAGCTGGATTTATGTACAAAACAATAAATGGAATACAAATATGATAAACAGCAACAAATGACAACTATTGTTGTAAATCACAGTGTTATCACAAGTTATACATAATGACCCTGTTTCACATTCTCAAAATGGCTGCCAAAATATGTAAACATTCAAAGTGATCATATTTCAATGAAATTTTATATCTAAACTGATGTTCGCCTCCATTTTCAAAAAAGTATGATTTAAAGATTAATACATGAAAATCAATTGAAAATAAGTATTTTAGATAGGCTCTAAATTTCATGTTTTGCTTGTAACACAAAAATTAATATGCTGGTAACATGTATTAGTACAAATTATAATGTATTGATAACTGTGGATTCATTTTTTTTCGTGGATACCAACTTGAACTTTCGTGGATTATGGAAAACTTAACATGTTCGTTGATATTTAATTTCATGGTTTTGCCGAAGTCTGCATACAAGCCTATAGAAAATTTGTCATTTGTTGAACATTTAATTTCGTGGTTAACTTGTACCCATGAAATCCACGAAAATTGGAATCCAACGAATAATAATGAATCCACAGTATTTGTTTCTGTGTCTCACACAAAAATTTGCAAATGGGATGAAATGTAATTTTTGCAGTGGTTTTATATACTGTTAATTGAATTCTTCCCATATATATCTCACAAATCTAACCAAGAAGTTTACTTTTTTCATTGCATCTTATATTTTACTGTTTTGCTGCAAGTGATAGTATGTTAAGAGTCTAGCTGATAGGGAAATATAAATGTAATGGTTCTGCAAAATAAAGGAGAATTTATTCTACTATATTACAATTTTTAAAAAGAACTATTTTACTTATTTTTTAACAATATTCATATCTATTAATGTTTCTATTAATAGGAACATGAAGTTGAGAAGATGTTTCCACTGCAGACTTCTGGTCTTCCGCCAAGTAATGTACAGAATATTATATTTATAGCCAGACCAAGACTGAAACTCATGGATCTTATAGCACAGAACTTATTACAGTCAGTATAGAAATAAGAAGATATGATTTGATTTCTAATGAGACAGCTATCCAACAGAGTTCAAATGACAAAGATAAAAGCAATTATAGGTCACTATATGACCTTCAGCAATATAAACTTATACCTTATAGTCAGCTAATTTGTTCCTATTGGGTTATAATTGTTCTTGTTGATTCTTACCTTTTGTGCTGGCATGTTAAAAATCTTACATAGCATGTCGTTCTGGTACAAAGCAGTGGATATTCATAAGTATTGTTATTGTCCTGATATGTAGATATTTTTGCTGATTTTTAAGCATTTAGCAATCAATCAATTATACCATTTCTTACTCATTATTCAACTTGCTGAATAATTTTGGTGGTGTGTTACTAGTATTCAGTTTTATAATTTTATAAGTGAGCAATCTTATTTGATACCAACAAAATTTGACTTTTATATGGGATGTGTATTTAATAATTTTATCAAATAATTAGTATGGTAAAATACACACAAAACCAATTGAAGCTTAAAAAAGATAAAATGGGTACACGTGTAATAGCCAATATCAAAATGCTTGTTTTTCTTACTTTTATTTAGTCCGATCTCTACATCTGCATGTAGAACTTTTTAAGCAACATTAGATCTGTAAAAAAATTGTCTCCTATGATGCTATTTTCACTACAATTTAATATGATGAAATATCATTAAAAAGGATATGAAGTATAGCTCATTCAAGCTAATATTGCATAATATCACCTATCATGCCTATGTTTTCAGATTGATCTTGTTGAATGTTTGGGAAATGTGTGTTCAAAATAAGCTTCACATGACATTTTAATAGTTCAAAACTTTAGAGTGATAAATTAAGTTTTTAAATTTGTATACATTTTGTATTTACAGGGAAGAGCAAAAGGGAGGTTTTAGGAAAGAATATCACATCATATTTGTCCCAAGAAAAAGCCTTCTTTGTGAGAAAAGATTAAAGGTATAAATGATGCAGATTTATAAGCTCAGCTGGACCAAATCACCATTACAGTTATTGCCAGGCTCCCAGAATCTGTAATTCAAGACTATTCAATTAAAATGGATGTGGCGGGGTAGGAAGGGACATCTAAATACCCCTACCACCAATATCCAATGAAGCCTTTCATTCAGTTTGATGAGATTTTAATTCAGATTTATAAAAAAAATGTATATGTAGTCATCCCTTAGCCTTACAATTTACTGCTTAAATTAAACCACATTGTTAAAATCATGGTAGTGTGATGGCCTCAGATATGGGAGGTTGGTTTGATCCTTGACCAGATGAAACTTTTATGCTGACTTTTGCTGCTTCTCCTCCAAGAACGTGACATTTTGGATTTCATTCATGAAAGGGTGTCATGTTTTCCTGTAGACTATTCAAAATTTGAATTGGCATGTTTAATACAAAGGAGGGTATATTCACATGATTTGGCATGCAGTTATCCCTAATATGCATGTAATATTTGATACGGGTTGTTGAAAATTCCTTCTGTCAACCAGTTTCTCTGTCTTGTCATGCTTGTAATGTTCTATTTCAACCAAATACTGTTTTCATTTTGATACTTTAACACATTGACCTTTAGAAAAGTAGGAGGTACAAATAGCCAATTTGGATACTGTAAACTTAGAAATATTTTGGTTATTATTGCCATAGTTGAACAAAGGACAAAAATCGCAATTTTCACAGTACAAATGTAATAAAATAAATCATTACAAAAATTAGTACATTTACAGTACATAAATCAAGTGGACAGATAACATTGTTGCCAAGAGTAAAACAAGACAAAAAGACAATCAAATTTACACAAACATTAAGGAAAGAATGACTGTGCATCAACCCCATAAAAAAGGGTGAATCTGTGGTGTTATATTTAGAAGGGGAAGATGTACCTATTTCAAATGTGTTTTTTTCTCACTAATTTAGTGATTTAGATAAAATTATGAAAGCATGTTTTTGTGAATTTGTTTGTGGAAGTTGATTATCATTGTGTTTTATATATATTGCTACAATTTGTTTTTGTTTATTTTTAGGATTTAGGTGTATATGGTACCCTGGCAAATATTGAAGAATTTAGTCTCAGTTTAATTCCTTTTGATTATGACCTGATGTCAATGGAAATGGATAATTCTTTTAAGGTAACCAATCTTGAAACATCAAGGTTATACATTTGAATAAAAGAAATTACAGAAAATATAGACTTTATAGTAGTCATTTATTAAACCAAATTCTGAATAGAATATTTTGTTTTTGTTTTTGAAGATTTAAATGAAATAGTTGATTATTCAGTATAGATCTTCAAAGATAGTCCCTTTGTACATATTCAATCTCATTTTTCACACTTATCACATGATTAGGTAAAAGAATCAGCATGGTGTATGTTTAGCACATGTATATGAATTGGTTACTCTTTTTGTTTAACCATAACAAGATTATTGTAAATTCAGAAATGTTTGCTATGCTTTTATTATATTTAAAATTGCAACAAGTTTTCTTAAAAAACAAAAAATGTGCAAATACAATTTTGATAGCATTATTTGAATGCAGCAATTACTTGAATCACAATCATAAATGATTTTGTTTTTTGATCCAATCATAATAAATAATGGACACAAAAAATTCTGAATCAACAATATAATATAGCATGTTGTTTGTTTTGTACATAAATCAGACTGGAAGTTTCTTGTTAGTCCCCTACCGACGAAATCGAAGGGGACTTTAGGTTTGCACTCTGTCCGTCTGTCTGTCCGTCCATCCGTCAGTCCGGCAAATCAGCTTTCCACACTTTTTTTCTTCGTTCTTGAAGATATTGATTTGATATTTGGTATATAGTTTTATCATGACAAGTTATAGATCAAGTTCGAATTTTGTTCCGGTCTGATGATTTAGTCCAGAGTTATGGACCATAACTCTGTACCATATCTAATGTTAAGAGTACTATGTTAAACCATATTTCTGAACAAAGGGAGATAACTCATTTTTGTCTCGCCTTGACGGAGTCAAAAAGCGAGACATAGGTATGCTGTTTCCGGCGGCGGCGGCGGCGTCAACAATGTATTAGTTTGTGATTAGGTCTAGTTCATGGTGAACCACTATTTGTAGGTCAATGATTTTTGGTATGCAGTTGTATTAGCATTGGCACATTTCATTACCATGGAGATTATTTGGCCCCGCCCCCTCAGTCAAGGTCTATTGACTTTGAAACTTTTCATAGTTTACATGTATTAGTTTGTGATTAGGTCAGTTTATGGGGAACCACTAGTGGTAGGTCAATGATATTTTGTATGCAGTTGTATAAGCATTGGCATATCTCATTTCCATGGAGATTATTTGGCTCCGCCCCCTTAGTCATGGTCTATTGACTTTGAAAATTTTGCTAAGTTAACTTGTATTAGTTTGTGATTAGGTCAGTTCAAGGGGAACCATTAGTGGTAGGCCAATGTTAATTGGTGTTCAGTTGTATAAGCATTAGCACATCTCATTTCCATGGAGAATATTTGGCCCCGCCCCCTCAGTCATGGTATTTACTTTGAAACTTTTGCTTAGTTTACATGTTTTAGTTTGTGATTAGATCAGTTTCAGATGAACTGCTAATGTTATGTCAATGATATTTGGTAAGCAAATTTATTGGCATTTGGGCAAAGTCAAAATAAATGGTCCAAATTTAATTTTTTTTACCAAATTTCAACATTGTTTTAGTGCATTTTCATTTGTTGTATCTTGATACATATACATTTAAGTTAATAAATCCAAAAGGATATAAAAAAGTATAAAGAAATAAAAAAGTTCTGAAACTTAAATGACATAAACCAATAAAACAAATTTAAATTAAGTATACCTTTTTGGAATATTATTTCAGACAAACACTATCAAATATTTATATTTTTTTCACCCCTATTGATTGCAGAGATCCAAACATTACTTTTGATGCATAGATTATTAATCTCCTCTTTGATTATCTTTTTTTTTTTTATGTTTTTGACTATTTTTTGTATCAATTCATTTAAAGTTGATTGAAAAAGTTTTGATTAAAAAATAATTCATCAATTAGTTGATAAAATAACTTCTCCATATTAAAATTAACCCTTTTTCAAATTCACTGAGGAAAAAAAATTGATAGATAAATCTTTTAATAAAGAAGATATATCAAAAAGAAAATACATCCAATTTCCCCTGTTTTTGTTGCACTCCTGACATATTATACACCAAACAAAAATTTCAGAAACTAGAACAAAATACTCATGATTTTTTAAAATTTGTAATCATTGCTGGTTTATAAAGACCTAAATCTGTCATTTAAATGTTATTTCTATTTTAACTTATGCATCTTATGCACTTCAGATCATATTTAAATAGATTTTTCTGACACATTATTATAAAAATGAGGTTAAGTTACCAAACTATGAACTAAATTCTATTAAATATTCAGAAGAATTGTTGTTTGACAACTTAAAAAGAGATCTGCATTCTTCAAAGTTTTTCTGAACTATTATTATTTTTTAAAATTATTACCTATATAAGGAACTTTATTTCTCCTATTTTGTTGCACTCCTGACATTCAATTTATATCATATCAAAACAGTTATACATCATCAAAAAAGCCCATGATTTCTAGATTAAGTGTATATACCTTTTAGATTTAGCATTTTAATTCATTTAAACAATATTTTTGAACTATATTATACATGTCACTTTTTGTATACATAAGTTCACATCTCATCACATTTCGCTTCTATTTTTTTAAATGGCAGTCTTTGCAATGTTAAAATGGGCTGAATTTTGTGGTTTCATGTGTAGAATAATCCCGCAAAATATCTTTGGAAAATCTCAAGTATTAAAAAAATGACGATAAAAAAAGATGCAAAAATTGTAAGGAGTGCAACACTTTTTTGTGACATTTTGAAAAAATACTTTTTTTATAAAGACACAGAAACTTGTAATATGATGATATGTGCCATAGATTCTTATTTATATTACAACTATTATGTCTAAGTGATGATTTTAGCTACAAATGAAGTTTGTCCATTAAACAGTTTGATACAGATGTGTTTTGAAAAAAGTATTGCCCTGTCAGGAGTGCAACATAATAATTAGTACAGCTGTGGAATAGAATGATTTTTGAATATATGAATCACACCTAAACATAAACAAAAGTCAATCCTGTAAAAAAGATATGTCCTTTCCAGAATAAATACTTTATTAACCTGATTATTGATATAAATGTGTGATAGTCAAGTAAATAAGGCCTCCCTATAAATGTCAGGAGTGTAACTTTGAAGTAAAAAACCACACTTAATAAATACAAAAGCCAATATATTGTTCTGTTTTATTTTTCAAAAGATACTATACTAGATACAAGATTGCACCAAAAGAGTAGCCTGATAGACAATGATAGACAAGGATTTTTTTTAGAACCATTTCTTTGATGTCAGGAGTACAACAGTTTTAAATTGTTATTTTCTTGGACTTACAATGTAAGATAATCTCAGCTCCTTATGCCTTATTTTCCTTCAAATATGTGTTCTTACTATTTAGGCTACATGTATGATATATTCTTAAAGGTGAATTTCAAAGCAGGACTTCGATCCAAAAATTATTGTTTGTCACAAGCAATTATATTTGAATGATTTTTTATATAATTTTAGAATTTAGGAAGAGGAAGCTTATTGTCATAAACTTTGTCGTTTGATTAGGAAATAACCATATTTCAATTTAAAAGTTTTATAATGGTTTCATGTAATACTAATTAAATTATTAAAACTGTAATAACAAACAATTAATTTTGTTGAACTCCTGACATGAATTTACCATAACAAGCAGTTTTGCACAGATTCAATATTTTTATTTTATTAAAGTCTCACACATTTGGAGTTCATCTTGCAGATCCAACCTTTGAATGAATGAAAGATGGGAAAGATAGTTGATGAAACTGAACTAACTTGAGAAGAAAATCAGACAGACTAAGGGATCAAAACACACCACCAAAGTCAACATCCACTATAACTTTGATGAGTAGAAAATTGAGAAAAAAATTTGAAAGATGATCCACCTAAAGGACACACTAGACAAATATACTAAAGCAAAGAAAAGAAAACAATGTAAAACTTAATTACAAAGGCTTAACCTGAATACAAAAACACAGATGGAGAAAATGAAACAAAAATCAAAACACAGAGATTGGCAACAGAAAAGAAGAATAAAATTGACACAAGCCAAAAAATTTGCAAACCCACAGAAAAATGTCCAGTCGAGAAGCAAAAGTACAGGTGCAGATACACTATCTAGAGAAATCAGAATAAGAAGACAAAGTATAGGGAAAATTCTTCCTGACCAACCCAAACCTTGGCCTAAAACAATTGAATACATCATATCCACAGCTACACCAAATCAGTTGTAAGAACTAATCAGTACTGATGGAAGTGTGCTAGAAATTGATGGGTGCCGAAGTGGAAACAAAATTGAGAGACCTTTAATAGATCTGGAAACTGTTGAAAAGAAACTGGCATTTTCAAAAAGAATAGAGGCTACCTGAAAAAGTTAAAACTAAGGGACTCTTTGAAAATGCCATTTTCTTTTCAACAGTTTTCAGATTTTTTAGGGTTTTCTCAACTTTGTTTATACTTCAACATGTTCAAGACTCATCAATTTCTTGCACACAGCTGATATCAGTTCTCATTTACAATGACAACCACCTTGGTGTAGCTGTGGATATGATGTGCCCAATTGTTTAAGCTCAAGATTTGGGATGGCCAGGAAGATAATGTCTTATTCTTTGACTTCTCTTTCTGATTTCTCTAGGTATTTTATATGCATCTGTACTTTTGCTACTTGACTGGACAATTTTCTGCTGGTTTGCAACTTTTTATTAGCTTGTGTCAATTTTCTTCTTCTCTTCTGTTGCCAATTTCTCTTTTTTGTTTTCATTTTCTCATTTGTGTTTTAATTCTGGTCTAAGTCTTTTGAATTTAGTTTTACATTGTTTTGTTTTCTTTGTTTATATTTGTCTAGTTTGTCCTTCAGATTTGGATCTTATTTCAGTGTTTTTCTCAATTTTCTACTCCTCAAAGTTGAAGTTGTTGTTGACTATGATGGTGTGTTTGTATGCACTTAGCCTGTCTGATTTTATTCTAAAGTTTAGTTTCACAACCATCTTTCCCATCTTTCATTCATTCAAAGGTTGGGTCTTAAAGTTGAACTCAAAATGTGCAAAGCTGCTTGTTATGGATAATTCATGTCAGGAGTGCAACAAAATTAATTGTTTGTTATAACAATTATAATAATTTAATTAGTATTACATGAAACCATTATAAAACTTTTAAATTGAAATATGGTTATTTCCTAATCAAAAGACAAAGTTTAAGACAATTAGCTTCCATAATATGAAAATAATATGAAAATTTAACATTCAAATATGTTTGCTTGTGACAAACAATAATTCATGGATCAAAGTCCTGCTTTGAAATTTACCTTTAAGAATTTATTATAACTCATACATGTAACCTAAGTAGTTAGAAAACATGTTTAGATGCAAATAAGTCACTAGGAGCTGAGATTATCTTAAAATGTAAGTCCAAGAAAATGTCATTTTAAAACTGTTGCACTCCTGACATCAAAGAAATGGTTCTAAAAGAAAAATTCCTTGTCTATCAGGCTACTCTTTGGGTGCAATCTTGTATCTAGTATAGTATCTTTTGAAAAACAAAACAGAACCATATATTGGCTTTTGTATTTTTTCAGTGTTAGTCTTTAAACTTCAAAGTTGCACTCCTGACACTTATAGGGAGGACTTATATACTTGACTCTTGCACATTATCTATATCAATAATCAGGTAAATGAACTATTTATTCTGGAAAGGACATATTTGTTTTACAGGATTGACTTTTGTTTATGTTTAGGTGTGAGTCATTTAAGCAAAAATCATTCTATTCCTCAGTAATACTAATTTTTGTGTTGCACTCCTGACATGGCACAACTTTTTTTCAAAACACATCTGTATCAAAACGGTCCAATGGAAAAGCTTCATTCTGAGCTGAAATCATCACTAAGATATAATAGTTGTAATATAAATAAGAATTTAAGGCACATTCCTCCATACAACAATTTGCTGTGTCTTAATAAAAAAGTATTTTTTCAAAATGTCACAAAAAAGTGTTGCACTCCTGACAATTTTGGCATCTTTTTTTAACGTCATCTTTTTAATACATGAGATTTTCCAAAGATGTTTTGCAGGAATATTCTACACATCAAGCCACATCATTTGAAATTAATTTATTCAATCAAATGATCAGCATGATTGATAAATATTGCTTTATATGCAAGGAACCATTTATTTTGACTTTGCCCATTTGCAAGTATTGTTTCCATGGAGATTATATAGCCCCACCTCTGATCATGGTTCATTGACTTTGAAACTTTTACATAGTTTACAAGTTAATGTTTGTGTTTAGGTTTGTTTAAAGGGAACGACTTATAATAAGTCAATGGTATTTGGTATGCAGTTGTATTAGCATTGGCACATCTCATTCCATGGAGATTGTTTAGCCATATACCTTCAGTCATGGTTCATCGACTTTGAATATTTGCATAACTTACATGTTAAAGTATTGCTATTTTAATTTCAACATTTGCATTATCAAAATTACAAAAAGGCTAGACATATCTCTGTGATAACAGTTTATTTAAAAGACATTCTTTGTTAAATTATTTGAAGAATGTTTTGGCAGGTTGGTTTGTTATTTAGTATAAACTAATTTTCTGAATGCTGTATATATATAAAAAAAAATTATGAAGAGAAATCCTTTAATTAGATAATAATCTATTTTTATTAATGTATATATTTCAATACATTACATTGTGTAGATAAAAGTTGTTGACGTTTTATAGATAAGTTACAAATCTATATTAGTTTGTGACAAATGAAAGAAAAAATATTTGGAACTATTAATTATATTTGATTATAATTTACACTGTATTACATCATATCTAATTTTAGAGAACTATTAATCATATCTGATGTTTTTTTCATCATGCTTATAAGATATTGATTAATAATTGGTGTATATATATAGTTTTATCATGACATGTTACAGATCAAGTTCAAATTTTTGTTTCGGTCTAATAATTTTGTGCTGAGTTATGGTCCTTGGACTTGAAAAATTCACGCACATAATCAGTTTTCCACACTGTTTTTAGTCATGCTTGAAGATATTAACATGATATTTACTTTTTGTTTACACCATGACAAGTAATAGAACAAGTTAGCATTTTGTTCCAGTATAATGAATTTTTATCTGGTAGGGGACTATGTATTGCCATGCAATACTTTCAGAATGCTTGTTTGAATTGTTTTACATTTGTCATTTCAAGGCCTTTTATAGCTTGTTATGCTGTATGGGTTTTGCTCATTGTTGAAGGCTGTAAGGTTACCTATAGTTGCTAATTTCTACATTATTTGGTCTCTTGTGAAGAATTGTCTCATTTGCAATCATACCACATCTTATTTTTTATATGTTGACTTCTTTTGATTGACAGGAATGTTACCTGGAGAATGATTTTACCAGCATGCATTATGCTGCTCAATCCTTGATGACACTACAGACACTATATGGTGTTATTCCTAATATTTGTGGGAAAGGAGACTGTGCTAAGGTACATGTACTACAGATATTTATAAGTATTTATTTTCTTTCTTTTCATGCTATATAAAGAAAATTTTGATATTTTAAACAAATTCAAGATCATCTTTTTGAACTGCTGTGTTAAAATTTTTATTTTTTACTTGGTTAAGGGGAATACCTGCTCATGTGCCAAGTTATGTCTAATAATGTCTTTATTCTTCAATACTGTAGTTCAAAACCTGATCCAGTTATGTAGGATTTAATGTGCCCATTAAACAAGTATACGGCTATCTGTTTCTCCCAATTACTCAAGTATGCCCAAACAAGGAAATACCAATTTCTGACATAATTTTAGGATGCTCGAAGACAAGCTCAATTTTGATTTTGATGATTTTCAGATTATAGATTTCAGAGTTATGGGACAATAATCTTGAAAAAAAAACTGGACAATTTTTCATTTGTCTGGTGAGAACTATAGTATACTTGTGATATTGTTACAAATGGTTTAGTTCATTCATTTACCTGTATTAAATCTAAATATAAACTGACTACCTCAAAACTGACATTTAATGGAGTTGAAAGGGCATGTAGGCACCTATATGTTTATTCATAACCATAGTTTATTAGATAAATACACTTATGACATGTATAAAAGATGCGTTAGATCCTCTTGTACTTGATTTTGAGAAGATATCAGGAATGTGTATCATGTGCCTCTGTAAGGTTTCATGTAGCCAAGTCGTAAGGTTATTATAAACAAATGTTGTAATTTGACAAAACAAATACCATTTACTTATTTCATCCATTTGTGTATTTCAGCAAGTAGTAGACATGATGTTGAGAATGAGAAGAGAACTTTGTGGACAGGAACCAAACATAACACCACAGATAGATAATCTATTGATTCTTGATCGTAATGTTGACCTTCTGACCCCATTGTTGTCACAGCTGACGTATGAAGGATTAATTGATGAAATATTTGATATAAATAATAGTAAGTATCATTTTAACAATGCCTCCCTTCAATGGGAGGAACGTTTTTGTCATTTTCAGTGTATCATAAAGTGTTGTAAGCATGCATTATTCTAAGGAATGGAATCAAGTTTTCTGTCACCATACAATACAAAACAATGTTTTTATTGTCAATTATGAGTTCCCAATGATGAACTGAACAATCAGATTAAATTACTTGCAGTTGATTACATTGATTAGTTTGACAAATAAATGAAATATAAGATTAAACATGACTTACAAAATGTAGATAAAGATGGACAAACTATTGGTGACATATTTAATACAGAAGAAAAAAAATTTCATCTTCAACTTAAAGTTTACATCTTCCTATCAAAGTGCTGAATATCTGCCTCTTTCTATACATAGTTTATGATCACTAACTGTATATGTAGTTGTGTATTTTTTGTTTTTTAATATTTTGAAATGAATTTCCCATGTGTACCTGGGAATTTTTAAGATAGTTGTTGTTCCTCATAAAGTGAGTAAACAGTTATAATCACCACTGATCAATATTCCAAAACTGGTTGATTTTGTATTTTTAAGGTATTTTGCATTGTATATTCTTTTAATTTGTAAGATAATTTAATAAACTGAAAGGATTTTTTTAAAGGAAATTCAATTCAATTTGATGTGAAAACCTATTTTTTATCGAATGATGACTACTGTCAGTTGCAATTGCACAGTTGACCATCAGAGTTATTTCCAACAACTATGAGCAATCATAGTTAACATTTTAAATTCCTGGATATTAAAAATGTGAATTTTGAACATTTTACTTGTATTGCATTATAATAGGAATATTAGTAAAGTGTTTAAGAGTTGTCACTGCCAATTTGGGATTTGACAGCCATAAGTATCCATTTTAGTGATTCACTTTATGTTGCCAGTAAAAAATTCATTTGTAAACATCTAATCACTAACTGATAGCGGCAACTCCCTAATCACAGTAAATGTTATTCCAGAAAGAGACCCTTTTTGAATTATCTTCTAGTTTAAAAAAAAACTCTACCGAATTATTTTAGGTTATTACAGTAATAAATTCTAGGTAAATGTATTATATTTATTGTAAATTATAAACAATCTTGAAAATTCTCTTTTTTTCCCTAATTTGTAGCAAGTGTAAAACTACCTCCCGAAAAATTTCAGTCAGGACAAGGTGAAGAATCCAAAGGTGTTCCAACAGAACCAAAGAAAGTCATTCTGAACTCTTCTGATGTATTATATGCTGACTTGAGAGATAAGAATTTTAATGCAGTTGGTAGTATTGTCAGCAAGAAAGCTAAAACAATAACAGCTGAATTTGATGTAAGTATAAAGAAAGGTGATTGTGTCATTAAGGAAACAAGAGGCCTAGGTGGGTGACAGATCTAGGTTGTTGGCCAACATCTACCGGTACTCATTGAAATCACTCCAGCCTATTATCACTGGGAGGTTTTCAAGCTCTTTATATGGTCGTTTGTAAGATGTTTAACGTTGTATTCGATTTCTGGTAGGTTAAAGAGTTTATCAGTTACTTGCTAGAGGTTTGCAACTTACTCCTAGCTACTCCAATTTCCTCCATCAATGAAATTGACATGATGGATGGGTGAATGTCCAGTGGCAAATATTATAATCAGGTTCAGGATAAGAATATGTTAGTACAATATCAATTAAAACCTTGCTTTATACTAGATCTAATGACAGTAACAGTATATAGGAAGCACTACAACACACCTGGACCCTTTATTCTGATCTCTAATATACACTTTTACCTTACATGCTTAGCCAGAGAAGCAGTTGATTTTTAGTCTTTGGTTTTACTCAGCAACGGATTGAACTTATGACCTCATTTTTTTCAGGTGATCATGCTATCTTTACCATGAGACTAGAGAGATGGTTTTACTACCAAAAATATAAGAATTGTTGGAAGTGATGTTATAATTCTATCAACCAATCCGAAATAATGAGCATACTTTGTACATATAGTTGTATTCAATGTTTTGATTGTAAATTTGCTATTGTCTGTGGAAGACAAACAATCATAAATTTATTTAATCTAAATTCTCTGACTTTGCCAACAATTAAAACCATTTATAGCTAAAATTTAGTTATACAAGCTTGTGTGTTTTTTTCAACAGGAAAGACATTCTGCCAAGACAGTTAGTGATATGAAACAGTTTGTATCTAAACTTCCACATCTACAACAAGTCAGGCAGTCATTATCAATACGTAAGTGTAATGTATAGCATCTACAACAAGTCAGGCAGTCATTATCAATACGTAAGTGTAATGTATAGCATCTACAACAAGTCAGGCAGTCATTATCAATACGTAAGTGTAATGTATAGCATCTACAACAAGTCAGGCAGTCATTATCAATACGTAAGTGTAATGTATAGCATCTACAACAAGTCAGACAGTCATTATCAATACGTAAGTGTAATGTATTGCATCAAAAAAGCTACATCCATATAAAAAGCAATTTTCTGTCTACTGGTCAGATGCTATTTTAGTAGAAGATAAAAAATGTATTATCTTCTGAAAACAACACAGCTCATACACAACACTGAAACTTGGGTTACTAAGCATACAAATTTCTGTTTTCATGACCATTTTTCTGGAGACTAAAATGGAAAAGATACTAATTTATGTACCAACAAATGTTTCTGTATAAGATTTATAAAAGAACAAATGTGTGGGTATGTAAAATATTAAACATAAAAAAATATAAGACATAAGAAGGGCTTAGAGAGACCAGCCAAAATTGTATACTGGCAACTTGGTAATATTTGTAAACTTAAAAAAATAATTGTGACAAATATTGTCAGATTTCATAATATGCAAAATGTGAAAGTCACTGAAAGCAGTTATTTTCAGTCAAAGTAGAATATCCCAATCCAAACAAAATTAACAGCAGTGAAATGTCCATGCAAAGAAATATAGGTACACACCCTTGAATCCCTAAAGTGTATATCAGAGTTGTGGCAAGACGGTCATTTTCAGTTTTGGATGCCTTGTGGATATATTTCTTAATGCAAAATAGCTAGGTCATCCTGAACCAATGAGAACAGCATTCATAATTTCTTATAATATTTTATCGTAATTTACAGATACATCAATAGCAGAACTAGTCAAAGAATATACTGATACAGACGAATTTATAGATTGTTTGCGGTGTCAACAAGGTATGTAGCAAATAAGCAGTTAGAAAATGTAGAAATACATGTATAGCCAGGTTTGCATATAAAAATAAATACAAAATTGGAAATTAGTGTCATTCAATCATTGCATTTTCATGTCCATTGCTCATCAAATTCCTATTTAACCAAATTAACTCTTATATTCTTACACATAATTTTAATTTATGAAATTTAGGTGGCATTTTCTCAGTACAAATTGGAGCTTCCTGAAAATTTGTATCAAGCTACAAGTGAACATGCTTTATTGTGGGATGTGTTTACACATCCATCAATCATCAGCTAACTGTTTATACAATACCTAAAGCAAGGGTATCATTATTGTGCAATAGCTCATGGTAAATCTTGTAAGTCTAAATTTAAAACACCAAGAAATATCTTGATCTGAAATGAAACTTAGATAGTAAGAATTGCCTTACAATTATACAGAAAAATATAGGAAACAGGAAGGATGATCCAGATGAGAAAGATTTTAATTTCAAAGATTTTGTCAATGCATTATTCAATGGTAAAAATATTTAATGTGAATATGTTTACAGAATTCATAAATAGTATAGAGACAGATAAAGTTCACACGTACATAGAAGATTGTATGGGAAAACAGGAACCAATTAATAAGGTGAGGAAAACATTTTCCATGTATTTGTATGAATTGAATAATGACTTTGGAAGATTGCAACAATATAAATGCAAATGACATAGCACATTTTGTATTAAGCGCGCACAGGCTTCTTGTTAAAAATGTGGTAGGTCACACGCTTTCTTGTCACATAAAACTTAAAAAATGGTAATTCAATTCTTACATTTACAATAGATATGAGTTAAATTAACATATAGAATAAGATAATTATGAAAAATTATCTATAGTATCGATAATTGTTTAATTTTACTTATTGTTTATCATGTGTGGATAATTGTATGTGCCTTAAAATGGTTACTGGTACTGGTTTTCATGAATTTCTAGGTTTGTAGTTACACTGGTACAAAATATATTTTTTTGCCATTAGAAAAATAAAGATCATATGAACAAAGTCTAATTGTAAATATATTTTTTTTTATGGTATTATGGTTTTTCTTCAGATAAATACTCTTTGTGTTCTTAAAATCATTCAAATCCTTTTTCCATAATTTTTTTTCCTGAAACAGCTGTAGGTATGGGTTTGTATAAAACTGCAAGTGATGATCTTCCTAAAATTTGTCTATTTAATCTAAAAAATATGGAATTACATTATGTATGATTGTTATTAAATGCAAAAAATCAAGTTTTGTTTCCATATGTTTATATCGTTTAAAAAAGTGAAAGAAACATGTATATATTTTTTTTCTGAATGTTCATATCTTATTTGTTTTCAGGTTTTAAGATTAATATGTATCCAGTCTTATTGTAACAATGGATTAAAACCAAAAGTATTAGATTATTATAAAAGAGAAGTTCTACAGGTATGTATTATAGATGAATAAATAAAAAAAAAAAATGGATATACTTCAACAATCCAGCAATCCAACAGCAAACATAATCAAATGACTTCTTGAGGTAAACATACAGTCGTCATTAATACGCAGGTGTCTATACAATATGTCAAGCTCTAAATATCCCACATACTTGTCAAAGGAGTAGGCCAAGTATAACCCCTTTATGGCCCCAAAATATAGCAGTTTTACAAAATTGTTAGAATGTAAATTTTTAGCTATTTATTGGAAAGAAGAATACTTCTGTTACATAAAAATGGGCTGTTTTTGACAATACAATACTCATGTATCGGGTATTAGTATCATTAAGTCATGCTAAATTACTGAAATCTTCGAAATTTTAGCATTTTGGTTAATTTTTAGACAGTTTCCGTTTGAAATGGAAGTGGCCACATTTGTGTTCATTCTTAATATTAAAATGTAAGTTGTATTTGATGATATTACATAACATATATAAAGGTTGAGAATGAACACGGATGCGGCCACTTTCATTTTTGACAAAAACCATCTGAAAAGTGACATATTATGGCATATTTGATAGATTTTTCATATTTAAGCTTGAATTTGAGAGTCTTAAATGACTAACTCAGTTCAAATCTTTCACATAAACTAATTGAATCGACTGAAGTAGACGCTTAAGTGTTTAAAAAGTGTCCAAAGTCTTTCATCAGATGAACCTAAATTTTGAGGCCAAAATCGGCCCTTACCGGACCTACTCCTTTTGAAATTATTATTTTTGTTTTTGTTTGTATTGACATTTTTAAGGGTTACAGCTTGTGTAGCATTTGTGAATGTATGTTTTTTCTCTCTAGAGAAAGTGTCATATCTGTTCTCTAAATAGCTTACCTTCTTTTATTTGATGATATATGAACTGTTTTTAATTGTGTAGAAAATTAAAAGAATGCTAGCAAGATTTTGTCTTGTGTAAGAAAAATAACCCTAACCGTAAAAATAATGAGATTTGGTATAATTGCAAGTAAGACAACTTCCACCATGAAAACTTAGACGTGAAAACCATTTAAGACCTTTACATAACAACAATGGATGGAAAAAATTAAAGTACTTTGAAACGACTAAAAACAGAAAACCCATATTAAACAGTTAATCAGAACATATGATCTTGTGTGTGATCTTCTGTACAAACATGTTCCCACAATGTGAAACAAGAAGAATTAGTAAACTGTTGATAAAGCATGCACATGCAAAAAGTTTGTCAGTTGAAAACTATGAATTTATATCTAAACTAATATAAATGTTCTCTATCAACTTGTAAATTCTATTTTACTGTGACTTGATGATAAATGTTTCTCTCCACCAATGCAGTTCATTCAAAATTCTTACCAAATAGGAATTTGTTTCATCAGTTCAAACTGTTCAACTGGTCAGAAATTTTAACAAACTGCTGAAAAGACATCAAAGTGCAAAGGGAAAAAATAAATCATACTTCCTAATCCTATAAGACGTGAATACCACTTCAAACAGGTAATTAAAGAGGTATATGAATATCGAGGGAATTACATCTTTTTCATATTCTGTACAGCTATTTCTAGTTATTCCAGGTATACTGGCTGTGTGTTTGATTTATCTTTTACAGATAGAAATATATTAGATTGAGAATTGCCCTTCATTCTTTGCATAACTTTTTGTTTTGTTTTTAGACATACGGCTTTGAACATATAGTTACAATAATGAACCTAGAGAGAGCAGGATTAATACGTCTTTTTGGTAACAGAACATATCCAACTATTAAAAAGTCACTCAGATTAATCATGGAGGACGTAAATGAAATGGTAAGTATGAAAACAAAACATGAACAATTTAGTAATAAAAATTAGTAACATCAGAAATTATTTTGAAAAGCTGTTTTCATGTAAAATATTTGAGATACAAAAATTATGTGCTAAACACATTGTAACATAATATTGTGAAAAAGAAATTGACAAAAATTTTCAGTATTTTTCCTGATATTGCATTAAATTTTTTTAAGTAATTATTTTTTTTGTGGCGCTTTGTATAACAAGTTTTCAACAAAATACTTTAAAAAGTGTACTTGTATTTTGAATATTTACAGTGTAATATACCATGATATAAAAATTAATTATTTCCCTTTTCTTGATCATAAATACATTAAGTCAAATTTCTATCAGTTGAATGAAATGTGCTTTTTACAGCAGTGTAGGATACAGTCAACTAACTCATTTCTATTTACACTACTTTCATAAGCAGAAAAATACAGCGAAAAATAAATCACAGTGAAGTCTGCTAGAAGGAGCTAAATGAGAAAAAGTATTTGCAAACATGAATCACCATTGAGTCCGTGGAGAGAACTAAATGGAAAAAACAAAATATTCATAGAAATAAGATGGTTTACAGTATCTCTAGACATTTGTTTATGCCTCTTGCTCATGAGATTTTTGTTTCTGAAAAAAGTAAAGATTTCTTGAAAGAGTGATAACAAAAAAGATGATGGGATGAAAACTTTTTCTTGATTTCAGGTAACAAATTTTGTAAATTTTTGTTTCAGGTTCCCAATGATATTTCATATGTATACAGTGGATATGCTCCTTTAAGTATTAGACTAGCCCAGTATTATGCCCGCCCTGGCTGGCGTAGTATAACAGAAGTTCTCAACCTATTACCTGGACCGACAGTTGAAGAAATACAACAAATACCTGTAGCTCTCAGGAAGAGACGTAAGATTATTATAAGTACCATATAAACCAAATTAATTGTCAGTTTGGGGATAAAATGATTTTTTGTGTGTCAATTTATTTTGTAGTTTGTTTCATATGTAAAAAAATAAAATCACATTACAAATTTATGCAACAGTAGTCCATACAGTCAATAAAAAAAAATGAAAGATTCTTAATGAACAAAAGCTAGTCAAAAGTCCAGCATAAAGCACAATGTAAATAAAAAAATGAACTGAATAAAACAAGATGTGTGGTAAATGTCTATGAGACAATAACCCCTAAAACACAAATAACCAAAAGACATCTAGAGGTCAGTTTGCAGTCCCCAACAAAAGAATGGTGTCTATACTATATGTCAAGCTTTAATCTTTCCCTAGTCTAAACCCAATTGTGAATGAATTTAACAGAAACTACCAAAAATCAATGAATTATTATGCTGTTTTATTTAATTCCTTAATTCTGGATGGTAGTTTAATTTTGTTATTCTGGTATTATGTATGGATCTGTTTGAAGATATTCAATTTCCTTGTTTTTATTGGTCTAAGGAGAGAAATTGTTTGTATTTTGTTTAAATTTTAATTTCTGACTCTGTCCTTGAATCTCTCAGACTTTGAAAAGTACTTGTTCTTAATGACTACCTTCAGTCACTCAGGTTAGACTTATAGTTTAGCAAAAGTTGCAAAAGTTTGAAAATACATCTCTAAAATTTTGTCAGTGATGCTGTCATTGACTACATAGAGATATTCTACAGACCCATGGTCAGGGAAATATCTTTTAGGGTTAGTCTTTCTATAAATACTTGACCATGAAAGTTAACTACAGAAAGAAATTAATTTTTAGTCAGTAATTTCAAAAGCTTTATTTCAAAACCATACAGTAGGTTTCACAGTACCCCAGAGGCTAATAGTTGAGTTCATTAAATTAAGAAAAATGTTTTTTTTTTGCTTTGAAAACCCTATGAAACTACAAAAAGATGTATGCAATTTTTAAAATTGAAATTTAATGTTCAATAGCTTTGAATTGAACAGCTCATCTATTTTGCTTTACAAAAAATCTTTAATTGGGAACTGTTTTATAGTCATCTGCATTGTATAGGTGGTATGTCTCAGACTTTGTATTAGAAATAAGGAAAAGATTTATTTAAGTCATATGATTGCCTTTGTGCCAAGTTATCACAAAATATAACTTTTATGCCTTGAAATGAATTATATTTGCAGGAAGTTCAATAGGATCTATAAATTCCACAGCAGCAGAACAAAAGATAACATTGGTGTTTTTCCTGGGAGGTGTGACATATGCTGAGATTGCTGCTCTCAGGTTTCTTGCTCAACAGGATGATGGTAAGATCTTTAATAATTTCCATGTGGAATGTTGTCTCAGTTTTCAGCATGTATATATTAGTTCTTTTTTTGTTTAATTACACTTATTTAGTTGATATGGAATGGCTTTTTTATATACTTTATTATCATTTATGCTATTCTCACTCATTTTATATATCTTTGCTTCTGACAGCATTCATGCATGAAGAAATGTTAGACTAAATGAATACAATAGTAATGCTTGATTTATACAGGTGTCAATGTTACACTTTACTATCTAAGGATATGTTCCAGTAGAATAGTTAAAACATTAAAATAGTCATAGTGATCATATAGAGAACGTAATGCATTATATTCTATGTACTCACGAAATGCACAAACAAAATTTGTATCCCACGAAAGAAAATGAATCCACAGTATGGAAAAAGTAATAAAATATGTCTATATGATAAGCTTCTTTCCGACATTAGTAAAAACTGCTATAGCTAATTCAAAATTTATGGATAAATGAACAAATAAGCAAACTTTTACTTAATAACTATCCACTTAAGAAGGAAATTTGGTTGTAATATAATTATTTAAATGCATGCTAATTTTTGATGGTTTCTTGTAGGTGGTACAGACTATATCATAGCATCTACTAAAATTCTCAACTGTAACACTCTCATGGACTTTGTTGTTGAACATACCAAGCCTGCTCGGTTGTTTGCATCTTAGTCAAATGTAAAATGTTTTAATTTTTCATCCCATCACTGATATCCCTCCTTCTCAATACCATCCTGGAACAATCATCCCACAGTATGGCAGTACTTGTACACTTTCATCCTTTGTTGGACTGCAATTGGATTTTATGTTATCTCAAGAGAATTTTTTTTTTAATTTTCAAAGAAAATTTGAACAAGTGTTCATACAGCGGAGTTAATATAAATAAGAGATGTGGTATGAGTGCCAATGAGACAACTCTCCATCCAATTTACAAATCTGTTTTTGTTTTGTGGTTTTTGTAAACAAACATTGCATGTCAATTTTTGTTGAAAAACCAAATATTCATAATGAAAAGATGAGGGGCAAAAATTTGGAAATAAAGGGAGACTTCCCTCTATAAAGTCAAATTGTATTATCTTCATATTCATATATCTATAATACATTAGCCTGTGGACCAGCTAGTAGTTAATGTTTTCCCCGTTGCTTGATACTACCCAATATCTCTAGTTATTATTTATATAGTATTATATGCTAGTCAGTGTCTCATGATCTTGCAAAACCTGTTTTATTGAAAGAATAAGAAATTATACATTGTTGAAGATATACTTGATTTATTCTTAGAAGTTATGTTTTAGAAAGCAATTAAAATAATTTTGAACTATAGGATATGAATATAGAAAAGATGTTATGTTATTTATCAATAATTTAATTTTGGATGTAATGTGTCTTCTGATTGGCTGACGTTGTTTTGTTTATCAGCTCATAGACATAATTTACTCATGTGACCGTGGCATCATCAACGTTTTTTCATGGTTTACTCTGGTTTAAAATAGAATTTAGAATTAAATTATAAGAAATAACTTTAATATTTTTTCTGTCTATTCGAAATAACATAAAAAATGTGGTGCACACTTTAAATAATCCGCTATGTGGGTTATTCAGTGTGCACCACATTTTTTATGTTATTTCTTAATAGACAGAAAAAATATTACAGTCATTCCTTAAATAGAACAGAACCTCAATAAAAAAAGCAAAAAGACATTTGATAAATGGAGTATGTTATGCATCCACTACCATGTGGCATATATGAATGTCCACAGACAGTTCTGTAAACAAATTAACATACAGTTACAGTCAAAGGATATAGTTCAAATGTACTTCTTAGAAACAATATGACACTATAAGTTATATGGTTCGCAACTGACCTCCTATGGACCCATAGAGGGTTAGTAAAATCCATTGGGTGTGAGGCCGAAGGTGATATCTATGGATTTTACTAACCAACTATGGATCTGTAGGGGGTCAGTAGTGAACCCTATAACAAATTTAGTGCACACGAGACTTTTCCTACTAAGTTATGTATAAAAATAAGCAATGAAATACAATCACATTAATCGATGACGTCACCATTAATAGTAAACGTGACATCATGAACCCCATATAAAATCTACTGACACCATATGGATACATAGGGGTCACCACGTGATGGCGTTAAACCAATCATAACGTCATAATTTACCCAAGGTGTGATAAATACTATGATAAAGATCATAATGACCATATTTACTGTTTAATAGCTTGAAGTTAAAGTAAGTACTGTTAATCCAGAAATATTTGTGATATAAGAATAAGAAGATGTGGTATGAATGCCAATGAGACAACTCTCCACAAGAGACCAAATCTCCACAAGAGACCAAAAGTAATGTTTTTATTCATGCTAAAAATGCAATAGTATCAGGTTCGCAATAATAAAAACTTGCTTTTATAATTTCAGTTGTGATTTTCCTTCACAAATTCTTGACAATCATATCAATAAGTTCTTACATTTTTACCAGTAATCAGTGATTAGAAATAATAAATGCACACATTAATTTCTGAATTTACAGTATTTAAAGTCAATTACAATGATACAATTTTTGTAAGAGCCTAACAGCACAGTCAACCAGTAGACTGTGACACAGTTTCATATATTCATATATATCTACTCAGATTAGTAAAAGAGATGCGGCTGATACTAAGTTTTCTGATACCAAATAAAATAAGTTTGTCACTTTTAATTCATTGAACAAGATAAGTTTTTTTTACCTAATTTAATTCTTCAAACATAAAACTACCTACCATCACTTAACTTGGTAAAAGACTTTTGACATCCATTTCATAATTCATTGATTTTGTTTATTTTATAATTAAAGTCAGGTTCTAGGCAACTAAATGACCCAACACGCTTTTTACTTTCTGTGGTGATATCCCTTTTAAAACATTGTCCTGTTGAAACAAAAAAGATAAATTTCAGATATGTGTAAAAAAGAAATGTTGGTACCGTATGTTCTGTTATGCTAACTAGTATTATTGTTATTCTTTTCATATATTAAATATATAGGAAAGACACACTTTTAGCATCTTATTCTTCACTACAATATATAATTGATGTTGATTAAGATTTTTATGTTTTTTAGGTGGTACAGACTATGTGATAGCAACAACATCTATTTTATCTGGTGAAACTTTATTGAATCAAGTATCAGTACCTTTGGAACCAGCCAAACTAAATCCTTTCTGATTCAAGGTTTATTGACCTCAGCCTGCAGTCTTGGAGATTATTCAGCTTTTTGGTGATACAGACTTTATAATAGGAACAACACATGTTTTATCTTGTGACGCTGTATCAGGAAATTTAGAACCAGTTAAATTCAGTCCAGTCTTATTTATAACATTGACTTATTGATCTCCTGAACTTATATTTTCATATAAATATGTTGTTTTGTTTAAATATATTTACAGTTGTAAATTTGTCAGCCATTACTAAAAATCACACCTGTTCCCATAGAATATTGCATTACAATTTCAAAAATTTGACGTCATAATTAAAAAGTGATTGATATTTGACCTCACAAGGTTATTTAGAGACAGGTCTAGGGTCATTAGTAGACAAAGTTTAGCTAAATACCCAAAGTGAAAATGTGTCCATAGGATGTAGATGTGAAAGGACATCCTCTTCTTATGTATACGTTACAGTTTAAGTAATAATTCTAATGTCTTGCTAGAATAAATGTAAATTCTGATTTATACTTATTAAAGTTCAGTACAAATCAGTATTCCAATGACTTCTAGTAGAAATTTGGATGTTAAGATTTGTACTAGGGGGATCCTGGATTGTATATAAAATCTATGAATACTTTTACAATACATAATAACAATATTTCGCTTTACTTCAGTATAAAGTAAACTTATAATTAAAACTTATTAGAATGAGAATTGTAATTTTTTGTTAAAATTTTCAGAATATTTGTCATAATAGTCATTACAGTGCTTGTTTTGTGTTTAACACTTTATCATGAGTAAATGGCCTAAAAATAGACGAGGTCAAGGATATTTCATACAAAAATGTCAATTTCCTTACTAAAGTTTCAAAAACAGTATGACTGAGCAAATGTTTTATAGGTTAAGGAGTATACTTCATGTCTGTCATATTTGTTTTTTCGTAAATTGTTTTGTTATAAATTAGGCCGTTAAATTTTTCAATTGAATTGTGTCATATTTTTCATGTCGGGGCCTTATATTGCCATAAAACAGTATGGGTTTTTCTCATTGTTGAAGGCCGTACGGTTGCCTATAGTTGCTTACATCTACTTCATTTGAACTTTGGTGGCTAGTTGTCTCATTGGCAATCATACTACATCTCCTTATTTTTATACTGTAATTGTGATTGTGTTTAGATTCATACAAGGGTGTTAAAACATAGGAAGGAGTCAAATGCAAAAACTGGACCCCCAAAAAAAATTCTATGTTAAGATGATTGTTTTAATAGAAAAACAAAGGATAAGGGGTATCCATCCATGACACAAAATCAGTACATGCAGAGCAAAAACACAGAAAAAGCAAAGGAACATGTTGATTTACATACACACTGTTAAACTTTCTCTGGACTCAGCCCCTGAGACCCCTAATTGCTCTTTGTTGTTTCACAGATCGGAAAAAAACTGGAATCTTTTTGATGATTGTCAGGTGGTTTCTGTCTACAGCTGTGCAAGAAAGATTTAAAAACAATTTGTATTTCATGTTGTAAACTAAAGCCAAAAATTGTTTCCTCAATGAAATGCCATTAACAAAATATTAGCATATTTTATCACAAGTAAACCATTTGAAAAGATTTTCAAGAAAGTTATTGTATTTTGCCAGATTTTGTTTGTAGTAAAGTATTGATAGTCATTCTTGTTTGGTCTCTAGTTGATAGTTGATAACGGTCGCATATCCTTATATTTATGTTATTACACCATATTAATATATAGCTAAATCATTTTACAAGTAATTACTGTAAAACAGATGTTAAACAAATATAATGTGTCAAACTTTTCATGAATAAGTTACGGTTTATAACAAATGTATAGAACCAGATATTATATTGGGATCTTTATAAATGACTTATGAACTAATTTTGTATGTATGTGTTTGCATTTGACTATTTGTGTGAATGTTTGCATCTGTTGTTGATGTTAATTTGTTATTATTTTATATCTTATTATGAGGTGCAATAAAATTAATATAAAAACTACAAATTTTATATTATTAACAGTAATTTGACATTACTACAGACCCCTACTGTATGCCCACCATAATAAAATTGCCTTGCCCAAATGGTCATGAGAGTGATTACCATCACTAATTTTCTTGTCCATGGTATACTTTTTATACGACCGCAAAAAATTTTTTGGGATCTTATTATGGTATGATGTCGTCGTTGTCCGAAGTTTAAGTTAATGGATCTCTATGAAATATTTTAAGAAGGTTCAATTCCACAAAAGGAAAGTTGGGATTGATTTTGGGGATGATGGTCCCAACCGTTTAGGAATTAGGGGCCCAAAACAAACATTTTTCTAGTTTCAGGATAATAACTTGTGTATAAATATTTCGATTGCTCTGAAATTGTACAACAATGTTTAATACCACAAGTAGAAGGTTGGGATTCATATTAGGGGTTATGGGGCAAACAGTTTAGGAATTAAGGGCCTAAAAGGGGCCAAAAACAACAATTTTTGTAGTTACCGGACAATAACTTGTGTGTAAGTGTATGGATCTCTCTGATATTGTACCATAAGGTTCCATATCACAAAGGGAAGGCTGGGATTGAGTTTGGGGGTAATTGCCTCAAACATGTAGGAATTAGGGGCCAAAAAAGGGTAAAAAACAATGCATTATTCTAGTTTCCAAACAATAACTTGTGTTAGATGTGTATGGATCTCTCTGAAATTGTACTACAAGGTTCCATACTACAAAGGAAAGAATAGGATCGAGTCTTGGGGTAATTGCTCCAAGGGGGATTCCAAAAGTCACGGGGGGGGGTTCCAATTTTTTAAAGGAATTCATATTTTTTTCAAAAATTTTCAAATTTCAAATTTTGTAAAAGTTTTAAGAAGTAATCTTCGATTGCACAGTATTGCGCAATAGATTTGTAAGATCTTTTACCACATTTATTTTGTGTCAGAAACCTATATTTGGTAAAAATTTGATCACAATCAAAATTCAGACAGTATCAAGCTTGAATATTATATCCAAATTTGCCCCAACTGTTCAGGGTTTGACATCTGCGGTCGTATCAGGCTGCGCTCAGCGAAGCATTTTATTTAAAGATCTTCACCTCTGAAATTACTGAACCAATTTCAACCAAAATTTGGGTGAATGATCCTAAGGATATGTAGTAAACGTTTGTGTTTTTCCCAAGTTAAACAACAAACATGGCTGCCATGGCAAAAAATGGAACATATGGGTAAATCGATTTAATTGTCTGATATCTCAAAAACCCTTGGTAATAGGGGTTATTGTCCTTATGGTGGTATGGGAGTATAAACAATAGATGCCCTTAGAAGAAGATTTTTGACTTATTTTAAAGTTTTTGCCTATTATCTTGAAAACTATAGGTAGAATTTGTAAACAACAAAAATGATCAGCAATACAAGGCTTATAAACATCTCATATTCCAAAACATTGGATGACTCCTTATTAGAGTTATTGCCCTTAAATGATTTTTTTTACTAATTTACCTGTATGTACCTATTATCTTGAAAACTATAATATGAACGAGTGGTCTATCAAAAATTTATCCTACTGATCAGAATGACTTAAATGTATATCTAAAGTGAAGTAATTCATACAGAAAAAAAAGAAACATCATACTATAATGTACAGAAGCTATACCCAAGTTATAACAAATCTACAGTTCAAGCACAACAAAACAATTAAAAACTAAACAACATACTAACATTGATTTTCTTTTTAATAGATTAAACCAACACAAAATATATATGGGTTTACTCAGTTATGAACACTTTTGGTCCTACATCCAGTCCCCGTACTTATATTATGGCATTGCACAATCTAAAAGAAGGATCTGTGGTATGATTGCCAATGAAGCAACTAGCTAACTAAGTCTAAATTAAGCGGATTTGATTAAATATGTCAAGCCTTCAACAATGAGCAAAACAAATACCCTATAGTCAGTTATAAAAGACCTAGACATGACAAAATATGAATCACAAGCGACTACTTATTTTTTTCTGAATTATAGACTGTTCGGTAGATCTACAACTTACAATCATTTTATTCATCAAATATAGTTGAGGCATACTATAGTAGATGAGAAACAGATTAAACCACAAAAAACTTCCACATGAATAACGAACTGTGACAATTTGACCAAGGTCAGATAAATCCTGTCAAACTGGCATGTACACCTTATTATCCTTCTATATATTAAACACTAAAAGTGTCAGCAACATTGACATAATCATGAACACGGAATGTTGGCTATTGAAACATGAAACCAGAGCAAGGTTAAATGATACCTGACAAAGACATGTACGTCCTACAATCATTTTGTAAACTCAATATAGTTATAGTTGACCTACTATTTAAAAAGATAAAATATAGTTAACATTTAGGTAACAAGTCTAGAGTTAAATTTTTTTCAGACATGTCAAACTTTCATAGAACTTTGTTGAACTTTGTTTACAGATTAAGAGGTAACATTTGGAGCAAACTTTTTAAAATGTATTTTTTCATGTTCTCATATTTTGTCTATAGATTGACTAAAAGTTTTTTTGCAAACCATGCAATTTTGAAAAAAAATTAAAACAACACGTTATAAATTTCATGCGTCCAAAGCGCTTTTCTGGAGTTGCCTTCATTAGGAACTCTCAAAGCCGAATATTTGAAAGCCAAGGATGTATAAGAACAGTTGAAGAGCTAAATAACCAAAAAGGGCCTAAAAAATAGCCAAATCCATCTAAGGTCAACTTTCAAAGCTTTAACAGATTGAAGCTTAGTCATGACCAAGAAACAGCGTCTGAAGAAAATGCTTTATTTTCTGCTTTCCGGATTTTAATGATAAATGGATTAAATAAACTCATCAAAGATACTAGGATTAAAATTTTGTATGCCAGCTGCGCGTTTTGTCTACAACAGACTCATCAGTGACGCTCGAATCAAAAAAGTTAAAAGGGGCCAATGAAGTACGAAGTTGAAGAGTATTGAGGACTCAAAATACCGAAAGGTTTTGCCAAATACAGCTAAGATAACATATTCCTGGGGTAGAAAATCCTTAGTATTTCTAAGTGGTTTTGAAGATCACATTTAGATACAGTCTAGGGTTAAAGTTTTTTTAAACATCCATAACCTTTTCCAAAACTATCGTTAAATTCCAGGAAACCTTTGCAGAAGCTTCTTCATGACCATATAGGATAAACAAATATTTGTTTTTATTCTGTTAACAAAAATTACCACGTATTTGTACACAAGTAGCCATCATATTTAACTTATTGAAAAAACATGCATTTCTAGAGTTTTAATTGTTTTTATTCATTGTATGTTATTTAAGGCAATTTTATCTAGATTTTGTTTGCTCAGAAAGGTTTTTATAAAACACAGACTATTGTCTGTAAACCTATGTTTTCTAAAAGAAATGTTTTATCCTTTTAAATGACCGGTCCAATCATAACGTACAAAACTGTAACGTTTCCAGATTGTAACAGCTTTTCTTAATTTGTCCACTATCAGTCAGCTAACACATATGAGCTTACAATATTTCACAGATAAGGTAACAAGATACACTTCGAATTAGGCAAGAGGAACATTTGTACATAAGAGTTATCATTTTGCAGGCATCAATAATAGCAAATTGTTGACTAAAAACGCAGTCAAAACAAATAGTATACAAAATCTCCTGTTTCCTCTTTTTGCTGGATGTTAATCGAGACAAGACATCATCACAACTAATCATAAAATTCAGTAGTATCTATGTTAAAAACCCAAAGGAATAGGATTATATACAATTCATGAAAAACCACATACAGAGCGTTTTATAAATCAACAATAACAGTCATCTGCATGTGAATATATTATGCATTTCTTATCACGATGGGCACTAGCCCATTTACACGAAATAACTGCATTGTTTACTCCAAGAATGACTAGAACATAGATACATCATAGAAGTATTAAACTGATTGCCTGCTGTAGTATATATCTATGTCAGATTGATCCTGTTTCACATCTTCAGTCTGTAGATTGATTGCATTACTTGTCTGTGAAAAGAAAATTTTATGAAATTAAATGAGACAAGTGCAGTCACAATAAATCTTAACAGGCGTTTGATGTCTGACTCTCAGAGTATACAATCCACCAAGTAGCCTATGTTTTTTATATTGGCAGGATGAAAGTGGTTCACATCTGTCTTTGTGTATTTGGCAACCCAAACTCATGGTCTTCAGCGTACCAGATGAAGGACATTGCAAACTACATGGTGTGTGCACTGAAAGCTGTATTATACGTGTATTTCAGATTTTAAGATATTTCAGATGACCTATATGGTAATTTTGTTCGCGATATTTTGAAACTAATAGATATTTATTTTAGTATCTATTTAATTTCTGTCTTATTTCAACGTCTGTTTTTTTTTAGCATCTGTCAACATGTGTCAACTAAGCATGTTGAAATGCAATGTATGTTACTTATATAAAATATCGATAAAAATGTATATTATAGTCCTTATCAATGTATATAAACTATATAAAACTCTTTAAAATTATCAAAATGAGTTTAAAGCTTTTGTTTTCCTTACCTGTAAGTCATGACAAATTTCTTCCATAGAATTTCTGTCATGTGGAAAGTTATCCATAATACCGCTTAGATACTAGAATTAAAATAAGTGTCAATATTATTTAATAATATATATAAATTCAGTCATCAAATGTTAAAATCTCATAAATCGATGAGGAAGATTCAAATCAAGGAAACAAGCAAAAACTGAGGAAATATTATGAACTCTAAAAGGAGCGAGATCAGATTCATCGACATGATAATCGTATAATGCAATGCCACACTCAGTCAAAATGTCACAATCGGGAATATAGGATACAATCGGGAATATAGCAGATCAGACGACTTTTCTGGTATCTAAAAAAACTAATAACATGAAAACATGGTGAGTTGATACACAGACACATCGTATCGGTCGACATATTCGTAATGGTGACCGCTTAACTTTGGTAGACATCCTTCATCATAACTCTGTTGGGGTAGTTTTTGTGAAAAGAGCACACCCCTGTAAATGAAATCCATATAGAGTGAACATTCACGAGCGTAATGTGTTACTGAGACTTGACTGTAAGTGTCATAGGCGGATTTAGAGGGTTTTTCAGGGGCCCGGGCCCCCCCTTTTTGGGGAAAAAATTGGTTGATTATATAGGGAATCACTGAAGCATGACTGGAGCGGGCCCCCTCTTAGGCAGTCAGTGGGCCCCCACTTATGAAAAATTCTGGATCCGCCACTGAGTGTTGCTTTCCACCTATTGCAGTTCATTCAACAAATTCTGACCCAATTGCAGTTTGTTTTAACAAATCAAATTGTTCAACTGGTCAGAAATATTAACGAGCTGTTGTAGAAAAACACTATCAATCAGGAACATATATATTGACCCAGAATCAAGTCATCAAAGTGCAAGGTGATAAAATAAAGTATACTTACAATTCTATGAAAATTTTTTTAAATGTTGCTAAAATCTTCAAAACATATTGGTATTGTAAAAAGTCATTCAAAAGGTGAGAGGTGGTAATTTTGAAATGCCGTAAACATGTCCAATTTTACGTTTTTGAATAATTTTTTCTAAAATGGTGTTTTCCTTTGTTTGCTACAAAGCTTTCTTTAAATTAATATATAAATACTTTGGGATGTATACTTTAATCGTAAATATGTTATCATGAAGTTTTAAAGGGAAATAAGATCAATATTTCAAAATCAATCAGTTAAGATTAACTACCATGGAAACTTTATTTTTATAATTGTATTTAACTAATCACTAAGGAATTTTTAGACAAAAACGAGCAATATAGTTTCTACAATTTTGATTGTTTTCCTATTGTATACTACGTAAGACAGTCTCGTGTAGATACTATTTGAACATCAAAGATTTGGAAGTCAAATAGAAGTTGGGTCCCTAAAATGCATAGATTTACCAATTATAATAGATTGACAGAAGATAGATGTTTCGTTTTCCTTTCAGGAAGTCCTTGGTTCCTGTCACCATAAACCTGTTGCTGTATTTTCTTGTTTTATTCTCAACTGATATTATTCTATTCGTAATTTAAAACCACATGATGTGAATGCAAAACCGAACAAAAGTGTTGAAAAGCGTAGAATCAAAAGCACAATACCAGATACTGGACAAGATTTGATTACAGTATTGAACAATTGTCATTTGTCATTTGTCTACCACTGGAAGACACGTACGAATACTTGGTGTAAGTGTAAGCTCTGTTGTGACTCTCCCGAATATGAATTTATTTGCGAATGAATTGCTGGACGACAAAAATGATTCACGGGGGGAGTAAAGTCATAGCAGTTGATTTCCGATTAGGCATCAGTTGTATCATTAAGATATGATAATATAGATGAAACTGGTCGGAATTTAAACTATGACTTGGTCGCTCTACCGCTTGTGACTGTAACTGCTTTCGAATTTCGTACCTTTGGACATTTGCACCATTGATGAGAAACAAGTCTCGAAATGCGTCAATAGTAAGCACATCATATATCGACTCAATGTTTCTATAAATTCCTTGATAAAACAAAAACTAGCAAAAAAGGTATTATAACTAGATTTACCATTCTTTGTTAAGCGACACACTGCTTTATACAAACGTCGCTATCAATCTTATGTTCGAACAATGTTAAGTAATGGTATATGGAGTACATCGCCTTACAAGTCTATAATATTTTTATATCGATGTATGTATTTGTGTATAATTTAGAAAGTTTCAATTCATATAAAGCCAGATCTCGAGGTTCAATAAATTCTACTCAACATTACTGTTAAATTTACGTTATTTTTTACCTTATGAATATCTTGCAACTCTTTGTCCTTTTGTTCAATTCCCTTTTCAAAAAATAAATTAAAAAAATCTCTTTCAATTTGTAAGCATGTCAATACATAGTTAACTTCATTAAAATGAAAATATCTCTTTAAAAATGAAGTGCGTCCGAAGCGCTTTTCTTGATTTACCTTCATCTGACACGTCCAAATAATAAAAATACTGAAAGGGATGCATATCTTCATCATGATCATCCCAACAAATCCTTTTTTATACTGACCTTGTGTATTGAAATGTCCAGGCATATATATTTCTATCTTCATGTTACCAGTTACCATCGACGCAAGTTATATCACAATATACAATGTATATATTGCATCATGCAATTGGATAAATTCATTCTTATTTTAGTATTTTAGATTGCACGATACTTATTTAGAAATTGCTGGATGACCAAAGGAATTTTCTCTTTTGATTGACAGGGTGGTGCACTTTTCGTTTTTCAACCATGAAGCAAGTATTATTTGCCTATTTCATAATTCAACAATTTTGTGCAAACGACTTTTTCAAGATAATCAACTTTGTTGTGAAAAATGCAAAATTCAAACAGACGAAACAAAACTTACCTCACGTAACCTTCTTACTTCTTCTTTTAACGATTCTGTCTCTTCCGTTTTTCTCTGAAGTTTACTATCCTTTTTTAAAATCAACTTAACAAAAAATTATGTGAAGATCAATTTATGAAATTAAGTTGTTACATATTTGTAAATAAATTGCAAAGAATAATTAATTCATGTGAGTTAAGACCAGTGAAATGGGTTCCGCAAACAAACATTTCAAGAGCACTAACTATCATTATTTTGCCGTTTTTATCGTTTATTTGATTTTGTAAATATTTATCAAAATATTTTCAGTCAAGAGCAACACGTTTCCGTCGAAATTTGTGTTGCATCTCATATGTTACTTCATCAAACTCAGATGTTTTAATTTGTATTATGCTTCTTAAATTTGTAAAAGCATGCATGCACGAGTCCAGTAAGAAAATGCTGAGGTTGTAATTCATAAGTATTTCAAGACTCAGTCTCTGTTGTGCTACATATACCGAGTTCATGTCGTTAATATTTAGCTCGTGCAACTTTGCTTGAAAACTTTATGTTTTTTTCGGTTATATTTATACCCTTACCGTCTGCAACATTCCCAGAATCGTTACTGCATTATTTGAAAAACTAGTCCTTGGTTCCTGAAATATTACTTTGATCATTTTGTAAAAATGTCACACTTAACAAAATGATCGATTATTTTAATGCTCAAATATTCTTAAATTCTTATATTTTTCGTTTCAGTTATCACACTTAAAAAATAAATAATCAATACAACTATAAGTTGAAACCAAAACAGAGAAAAAGATTCGACGATTAAATAAATTCAAGGAAAAAGGACGAGAAGGTGTCCCAGGATAGGCTTCATTTTTTTTAATGACAATACTGGTAAAACACACAAAAGATACCAGTTGCCACTTCAAATTCGACTTACGCCATGTTTACAAATTTCCAAAATATATTTAAATCAAACATTTGCAGAAAGTATTCTGGATAGAACTGTGCGTCATGAATAAGTAAAATTGATAAAAATTGATCGACTTTTAACATTGATTGCGGTTTTAAAAATGACCTATGCGCAAACCTTAGTTTTCTTTTCAAATGTATTTTATAAAAAAAAAAACACACATTAAAAAAGGACAGAATATCACTATAAATTATAACTTGATGCAAAAAGAGAGAAAACACAGCAAGAGTCCGTACAAAATCATAAGTAAAGAAAACCCCCCAGACACCATTGGCAAACAGAAAAAACAACGAAAAGACAAATACAATAACAAAACACTACAGAGATAAGTATACAACAAGTTTTGCTGTTTAATATAATAAATATAGATTTTATAAATGTCTTACGCGTTTCAAGAAATAAAATATTGTAATGCTCGTTTCATTCAATACTGCTTTCAAATGGATAGTTTATATATTCCCTGAAGTTTCTCTATTATTTTAACATATACCTGCTGAATTTGAACAGCTTCATAATCATCAACATTCCGATGGTCATCATTGTTTGCTGCAGTTACATTTTGTTCGATATCCTAGAAGAAGATATTAAAAATGTATTTCGTTCATTAACCTTTGACATGAATCCTTAAATCCCTATATTTGATGGTCCAAATTAGTCAACATTCTTTTATGATTTAAATTCTCACACTGAATTTATTCACAATTAACTCAAAATTTGTAAATAGCTGTAATATACAATAATAGGAACTATCTAATGTGTAAAAGAATGTTAAAAAATGTTAAAAAATACAGTACAAATAAGAAATTACGACAATATCCTTAACATATATTTTATTTTGAATATCACATTATAGTAAATTGACGAGGCCACATTACCACTTAAATGGATTTACTGGTATTCCTATGACTTATTAGGCAAACATTTAATTAGATTGAATCATGCATGAAGCAAACCCAATACCTGAATAATAATTTCGAACTTTTGAGGAGATTTGTTAGGGAGGATACAACAATTGTGTGTAAAATGTATAATGCATTTGAGGAAGTACACCATATCAGTACTTAAAAAACATATATACCCCTTGCACGAATGATTATTGTTTTGTAGATACTAACAAAATTTAAACAACATTGAAGACACACATGCACACACATACACATAAATATTTAGAGCTGAAATTAGTGTTGGAATATCTTTAAATGAAATTAATAATTTATAAATTTCGTGCGTCCAGAGCACTTTTTTTGATTAACCTTCATCAAGTACGCTCAAAGCTTAACCTTTGAAAGCCAGGAATCTGTAAACTACATCCAATCAATATGGTTAAATTGTATTACTTTATGCATCAGGAGGTAAGATAACATGGTGCGTTGGGATGCCATTATTCCATGATATAACAGATTATTATTACCACAATTCGTAATCAGGTGGTAAAATCACTTATTAACAAAAGTTAATCAAATAAACATCAGACATTATTTAATGAAAATAAATGAAGCCTATACTTATCACTTAAATGTTGTGTCATCTGTACTATTATTTGTCTGTTTGTCTTTTTATTTTTGGCCATGGCGTTGTCAGTTTGTTTTCGATCTATGAGTTTGACTGTCCCTCTGGTATCTTTCGTCCCTTTTTTATTAAACATACATCAGACAAAAGTAATTCAAAAGTTGAAAAACATTGAAAAACCAAAAATTTCTAACATTAGTTCCAAATCTTGCGAAAACCATCTATACCAGGGGTTGAAAAGAATAAAGTGTGTTCGAGTTCTATAAACGTCAAAATTAATTAATTGAAAATTAAATTTTAGAATGAAATTGCATAGCTTGCAGTGAATCTTATCTATACCGAATGCAAAAATAAATCTAAATGCAGTCTGTAGTAATAAAACATGATTTCAATATTTTTAGACTGTTAAATAATGAAAATAAATGTAACTTCATAATGTATATTATAATATATTCATAGCTGTGCTTCTAATATATCTTTACTAACATCAAGAACCACCAACGTTCATATAATGGTAAGAACTGTTCATGCTAGAGAACTACTTCATGCAGTCAAGGACACTCAAAACCCCTACCATCATATTTTTTATTCACGACATTGCTAAAAACTCATTAAGGATACCAGGCATATAATTTTGTACGCCAGACTCGCTTTTCTTTTTCACAAGACTAATTGGTTATGCTCTAATAAAAATTACTTGAAGGACAAATAAACACTTTTTGAAATATCGTTCGTAATATATAAATTACTTCGAAACAATATTAACATTGTAGGACATCATCCATCAGTACGTAAAATAATATCATGCGTTGAGTTGCTCTCGTTCAATGATATAGCAAAATTGTTATTACCACAATCCGTAATCAGGTTGTTTCACTCATTCAAGTCTATCAAACAAAATAATACAACACTAATTAAGAAATTGAAAAGCATTAAAGACCTCAAAACCCAAAAAGTTATTCAAAATCTGGCTATGCCATCTATACGTATAATTTATTCCAAACCGAATTTTAAAATTATATCGCTTATCTTGCAATATATTTTATCTATACTGAATGCAAAATATGATTTTACATATGGGCTCATGTAATTGAATAATTGCCACTTTGTCTAATAGTAACATTTAATTAACAAAGTCAATAATTTGGTAATATATTTATGATTCTATACACCAAAGAAGTTCTTCTTATTCAAGTGCCTTAAACGTATATCTTAGTAGTATTGCAACTGACAAATGAATGCTTGTACACCTATAATACTGAGCAACACGAACCCCACTACAAAACGGTGATCCCATGGATAAAGTGCGAATAAACTTACAGAAAAGAACGGATGTCTAACAAAAGTAGTTGGTATTCTAAATTATGGTTTCGTTAATCATTTATCATAAAAATTATTATGTGAAAACTAAATTTCTGTCGTTGCAATGAAAAAATGGAAAACACTTTTTCTGTTTATTTCTTTTAATATTCCATGATTATAAAAGAGATAGGGGGGATAAGAACAATCTGACCCCTGATTTGCAAAATAGAGAAATTCTTCAAGGCTTTCAAAATATTAGTTTCATCGATTAATGATTAGTTTGGTGTAATCTAGTAGAGAAATGTCAATTGTGTTGTCATTATGGTGTCATATCACATATTCAAATTAACTTATATGTAATAAAAGTGCTATTTAAACCATCACATAGTTTTTGGCAAAATTTGTATGAGCTAAACACGATATTTTTCTCGTTTACATTTGAATGAGTCTGCGTAAAGCAAACTTATTTCACCTGAAAGGTCGTGGCTTACATTTAAATATTGATGACAAGTTCCCAAAATGAGTCATTTTTGCAGATTTGCAGTTTTGCATAAAAGCAAGATCTTTGAACCCTTCAAGCAACGACATTGATTTAGAAATATAAATACAAATATCTAAAAGATATAGTCGTTGTTCACATAGGTCCTATACGTTCTGGATTTCGAATCGAGCAGACCAAAACGTGGCCTTATCATACCTTCTCCTTTATTTACTTTAATATATTCAATTATGGAATGATTTCTTTATTTTCAAATTTAAACTTGAAATCCCATACATATCGAGGTATTCATACTACATATTTATGCCATTACACACAACACCAACACATGCATAACTAATAAACAAGACACGTTCAAAAGAAATACTTACGAATTGTAGGATGTCATTTCTATGCTTAGACATATATACAGATATATAGTTTTGCAAAAATACCTTGATACGAGTTATTTCTCTGTTGATTCATAAATTAAAAAGCTCAATTTAAAAAAAGTACTTATTTTCTCGAAATCTTGAAATAGAAAAAAAAATCTATGGCTAAAAAAAAGTTGAAAAAACCCACATTGAGTGAGATAAGAATCAGCAGATTGCTTGACTCTTGTATGCTCTTTTTGTGACCAGATATAATTATGAACTTTATATATCAGTTACAACTCTGAAAATATATCGAAAACATCCAATGTTTCATAATTGACTTCAATGTACTTTTAAAATCAAATGTTAGTCTCTAAGTATAGTAATGGTTATAATCTTTCAAAATAAAGCAATAGCTTAAAAGTGTGATGGATTATTGTTTAGGGGCCAGCCGAAGCCCGCTTCCGGGCTTTTCTCACTGTCTTGAAGACCCATTGGTGGCCTTGGGCTGTTTTCTGCTCGTTGGTCGGGATGTTGTCTTTTTGACACATTCCCCGTTTCCATTCTCAATTTTATGATGGAAAGTGGGGGAAAAATAGTTTTGAGATAATCTACTGAAATGTGATATATTTTGATTATAGTTATCTAGTTGATTATATACATTAAAAAAGGAATGTTATTGTGTGATTGTTAGGTGATTGTCTTAATCAGCCAGTTTTTTTAGTGCTAGACATCTAAGGATGATGTGTTCAGCAAGTCGTCGCACAGAACGACTATCATTACAATAAATCATAGTACATGTAAATATGTCTAATAAAAACATGATTCAGAAAGTTAACTTGTTAACTATAATAACAAAAACTCACTTCTTGAATTTGATTTGAAGAAAGGTCATCTAGAAATGGCTTCAACAGCTTTGTTTCTTCACTAACATCATCCAAATCAGTTGTCACATATGTTGTGTCTGTGGACATGTTTTCTATCGAATTTGACTGGAACGTTGGCAGAAACAATGGTAAGGTCATTTGACCATGATATTCCATATTTTCGTTTGCTATATCTTGGTTTTCATCTACATCTTCACCATTCCAGCTTAGTATATTGTTGTTAGTTGAACATCGATCAATAGAATTAATTGTTAACAAACTTCCTGTAAAATGTATGCATCATACCTTAAGATGTACCATGTTTAACTTCTCGTCAATGGATGTCATTGTTTCTTAATACATCTTGTCTGTTAAGGAATTTGGCATCTATGGCAGATCTTTGGTAGTGTCTACTGAATTATTTTATTACTTGCCAACTGACATAGGTTGAGTCATTTGTTTATTTTTATGGAAACCCTATGATGATTTCTCAATTCGTCTTCTTGACTGTATTATTTGGTTGCGTTCTAATTTATCCTTCTCAACTATCTTCTCTCATTCAAATGTATAATCTTATATAAAAATAGTGAGATGTGATAGGATTGCCAACAACTATCCACCAAAGTTCAAATGAAGTGGACGTAAGCTATTATAGGCAACCGTACGGCCTTCAACAATGAAAAACCCATACCGTATGGTCGGCAATTTAAGGCCCTGACATGAAAAAATATGAAACAATTCAATTGCGAAAACTAACGGCCCAATTTAAAACAATACAATTTACGAAAAACAAATATAACAGACATGAACCAACGACAACTACTGAAAAACAGGCTCCTGACTTGTGACAGGCACATAAAGAATGTGGTGGTTGAACATGCTTGAAGGCGCCAACCCTCCCTTAACCTAGGACAGTGGTGTAACAGTACAACAAACTATAAAAATCAGGGCTTTGTTTGCGTTAAAAGATAATGGACGAATTTGGCTTTTAACAATACTTTACAAAGAACTAAAAGTCTAAAAACAATTACTGATCAAATACCAATCTTTCTGTCTATACAGTACTTCGGTGGCATGAAAATATGGATATTGTGTACTGTTACAAAGTTTTGGAAATTATTTTACATTAAAGAATATATCTCCTTAATGCAAAGCTCTGATTCCTTGACCGGCTTTGAATATACTTCTTGTCCTTTTCGGTTTATAAGCTCTTCATTGTTTTAATAATTTTTGGGTTTTTAAATATTTACTGAAGAGACATCTATTGTCAAACTGCGTACTGGTGCAGGAAAAATGGTACCATTAATGTTATTCCCTGTATTGCTTTTCTAAAATTGTCCGTTTATGAATTTTGAAATTATAAAGAAACTAAGATTTCAACTCCCTCAGGCAAAGTTGACCTTAGATGGATTTGGATAATTTTTAGATAGTTTTTTGTTGTATAGCTCGTCAACTGTTCTCGGTCCTTATACATCCTCGGCTTTCATATATTCGTCTATGAGCGTTCTTGATGAAGGTATATTCAGAAAAGCGCTTCGGACGCATGAAATTATTTAACGTGTTGTTTTCATTTTTTGAGAAAAAAAACGTGATTTGCTAAATAATAGCATTGAAAGCAATATCACAAAATATAACATCGACTATTCAAACCTTTAATTGAATTACAATATTACCTGTCTGTGTGATAATGTGTGCGTATTGATCGGCATTTGTTGATATATAATTAGTCTCTCTCCTTTCTAAGTTATAACTACTCTCATCAGAATTTGAACTCGAATGCTTAGTTGGCCAAGATGTTAAGCTTTGGTTTACATGCTGGTTAGCTACAAAGGGGTTACTGTTTGATCGTCGGTCACCAGAAGAAGTAATTTCTGTAAAAAGACATAGATTCATTAAAAATAAGAAACAACGTTAAATGTACAGTTCAAATGTTTTTCAAGGTACAGTACTACCTGTGACATTATCTGATTAATGGTGGCCATAAAAAATATTGTCACCATGATGGCCCTAAATGTCCATCATTATACCCCCTGCTGCTTAATTAATACACAAGGTATTAATCAAAAACTAGTCAAGGATAAAGAGAAATCATGACTGCATTGAAGTGTTAAAATTACATAACTTTCAGGTAAAGTGTCTCAGGGAAAATATATGACTTTTTGTGTTTGTCAAATTTAAAAACTGTGATTATGACAAAAAAATTCTAAAATAAAATGAAATAATAAAACTAGTTGAACATATAGCTTCCTAACTTCTTTTTTGTAAAAATTTTCTCATGACTGTTTGCAAATGTTTGTTTTGATGTTATAACTTTTAAATAATTCTATCAATTTAAGTTATTTTTTACATGTATTTTTTGGCAAGTGAATAATAAATGAATATCATCTTCTAATATAATGCAAACTTTCACAACGCCTGCCTTTTCCCATTGAAAAGGTGTTTCTCAAACTAATATTCTAAAATCAAAATTGTTTATACTTACTGCATTTAACATTGTTTAACAAATGTTTAAGATTCTTGTAAGGACTTATTCTAAATAAAATTTAGGCAATTCATTATTTCTATATTGAATAAGTACATGTATATTCAAAATATTCATTACAGAAAAATTTGTTAATTTTTTTATTGTCATGTAAACATATTACAATTTAATCAAGTTTCTGACAAAAAAAAAAACAAAACAAACATTATAATGCAAAGAAATAACAATTCTATAAGAAATCAAAACACATGGAAAAAAGTTATTAGGTTTCTGCACTCAGTTCTAATGACTTTCTTTTATAAAGGAACCAATATTTTAAACATGTCCCATGTTATAGAGGTTTAGCATTTCTTTTGCTTTTTGTTCTTGGTTAAGATTTTATTCATAAGATTCAAGATTTTATTCATAAACTGGTCAGAGACATTAATATGAGAAGGTAAACAATTTTGAAATAGATTATCTCTAAGTTGTTATGTTAATTTTACAAACAATTCTATCCTTTATAGGAATTTTATTCACCATTTTCTATTTCTAAATTATGACCACTAATTCTTTACTAATTGAAGCATTTGAGTTTACAATTGTTTCAAAAAGCAAGACAATTTTTTCTATAAATAATTTCTTTGTAAGTCTCTTTAGTGATTCTTCATGCAAAACTCGTTTTGAGATTTGAAAAATATCAAAGATAAACAAAAATAGTTTATTCCTATACCATATAATTATATTTGTAGTTTTCCTGAATAATAATCATGATAATAGATTGTACAACTTTGTTAACAAAATTTATTGTAAAATGATTGATATTCATGATATTGATAATTTAAATTTGTGGATAAACTGGCTTGTTAAATTACTTGCTTCATGGTTCCTTTAAACATATCATTTGCATGATTATAAGTTATAATTAATAATAATTCATTTAATAATGCAAACAAACAATAGAATACCATGTACATCATGTACAATAACTTTTGTTTTACTGAAAAAATAATTATTTAAAGGATTCTCTCTTTTGTTTTCAAATGCTAGTCAATAACTTATCTTTGAATTTTTGTCATTTCTAATCAAGATTCTTTCCCAGAAGAAATTAAAAGAATAAGAAGCAAAAAAACAAATAAAAAATAATAATAACATAAAAAAATAAAAACGTTAGAAAAAATGGAAAATATGTAAATTTAAAAACAGAAAAATCAACAAATGACATGAATGATATGAATTAACAAAGACTAAAACAAACATTCTATTCTACATTTTCAAGAAAAGGTGAAATGTCAATCTGAGAAGAAACCTGAGTTACATGTACCTGTACAGGTAAATTTTAATGAAACATACAAGCTGAAAACTTCAATGCTGATTGATTTCAACAGGTAACATAATTAGATAAAAAATCAACCTCTGTTTTATGACCCCAATAAATGGCCAACATCTCAAGATTGAATACCCCAATAAATGACCACCATTTGATGGTGACCATACAAGAGGGTGGACATAACTAAGAGGAAGTCACAGGTTGTACTGTATCGTGTGAATGGAATAAACACCTTTTAAATTTCGTGAGTCCTAATTGCTTTTCTGGATTTACCTTAACAGAAACTTTCAAAAATAAACAATTAAAAGAATCATACGCCACATTATTTATGTGCCTGTCCCAAGTCAGAAACCTGTAATTCAGTGGTTGTCGTTTATTGTTGTATATCATATTTGTTTTTCCATTATTGTGTTGTAGTACATAAATCAGGCCATTCGTTTTTCTCCTTTGAAAATTTTTACATTTATCATTTCGGGGCTTTTTATAGCTTACTATGCGGTATGGGTTTGCTCATTTTCGAAGGCCGTACGGTGACCTATAGTTGTTAACTTCTATGTCATTTGGTCTTTAGGGGGGAATTGTCTCTTTGGTCAGCATACAAAGGTTCTTATTTTTTATAAGCAGTTTATTTTTACTATTGGCACCAACAAATTTTGAACAGCCATATATACAATATATCTAGAGGAAAACAAATTGTCAAATGTTAATTGACCATAATTAGTTTGCCCCATTTGTTACAACATATCTAAACAAACGTTATCAATTCTTATCAGAGCATTGCGAGTTCTAATGCACTGCCTTTTATTCTAAGAGTAAGAGATAACCTCGGTAACAAAAAAGAAGTTTGCAAAGTCGAAAAGAAAAGAAATATTCAATTAATCATTTCAAAAAGAAGTAAAAATACCTGTTCAAATTAATGTTCCTGAGTAAAGTGAAGCTTACATTGAGAAATCAATTTGAAGAAAAAATATTAAGGTGAATAAACCCACCCTGCCTCGTTTATTGGAGATTGAAGATGTAGTGACATTGCAATACACAATTCATTACTTGGATTGTCTAACAAAAGAGCCTGGATTTAGGGTTCTTCAAGAAAAAGAGATTGTAGAAAATAAATAAAATCGTCGCTTTCTCTTTTTGTATTAACACAAAGAACAAAGGCGGTAGAAATTCCACTTCCTCATACCGGATACCGGATACCAAAACTTCAGAAAAATCCTTATAATGAACTTTATAAAATCGGATTAAACATCTTCCTAAAATTCTTCCTACAATTATTTTTTCGGTAAAAGAGAGGCGAAAGGTACCAAAGGGACATTCAAACTCATAAGTCGAAAATAAACTGATAACGCCATTGACGAAAAAGATTGGATTGTAGTTACGACATTTGGAACATATCCGCTATCATCTGTGAAATGGATATTCCATAACGGTCAACAAACTCGTGATGGCGTCCGTTAAATTTACGAAGGGATGATTTCAACTTCACCATTTGGAACTCTTGGTTTAATAGCTTCATTGGGAGCAGCAACCCTCTATCAAGGAAATCATGATAGAAAATACAAACACTGGAATATCGTATCAACTGGGAGATATATACTCCGTATGCAGGCGCTGCTGGAATGTTGCTACATAGAAATGGAAAGTTCACAATTGGGAAGCTAAAATCATCTCTTTTGTCGTAAAGTTTTGTTTTCAACCGCCCTCATTGTCAATTTCTAGATGTAAGTCAAGATATGAGGCAGACTTAACTTTAACTGTTGTATCCTTTATCTCAAGTTCGATGGGATAGATGCGTTCAACATAGTCACCAAATTTTGAATTATTTAGTGAGAGAACATCATCTATATAGCAGAAAATAAGTTAAAGGATACTGCTAACTTCTTTTCTTTCTTCCTAAGAAGTTCCTGTATTCATATGAATAAAGGAACAAGACGACAAGAAGAGGGGCACAGTTGGTTCCCATGGGAATGTCAATTGTTTGTTGAAAAACACGTACCCCAAACATAAGAAATATGTTGTCTATCAAGAAATCAAGCATCTTGATAATGTCAGTTTCAGAGAATGTTTTGGTTGAATCAGAGTGATTTTTTTACAAAGTACGATATATTAAGTGTTTCTGTTGTTCTTTTGTTTTCCTCATATAGTTGATGTGTTTTCCTCGGTTTTTAGTTTGTTACCCGGATTTATTTTTGCTTCATCGAATTATTACTATTGAACAGCGGTATACTACTGTTGCTTTTATTTATCCCTCCCTAAATACCTGAAATGTGGTATAGGTAATCAGTGGTGTCCATCAGATTTTGCTACTTTGAAATTCATAAGATCTACACTGAAATCGTTAATTGCAATCGTTCAAGTTTTGCATTAATATAATATTTTTCTATTTTTCTATGCCCCTCAAAACTATTACCAATGATCAATTGAAAGATCGACTCTGTCTTTTTATCAAGCAGTGCTATTGTGACCTATATATATTTACTAAATTTTGCGTCATTTGTTCTCCAGTGGAGTCATTTGTCTCATTGGCGATCATACCACATCTTCTTTTTTTTTATTTTACCTACAAACATGGGAATCGTAAAATAGATTTCTTGATAAGGTCATGACAAACCTTTTTTTGTGAGGAACCACGCTGATTCAAACAAACAACAAAAACACCGAAGACATTATCATTAAAATTCTGTACTTTTAATTGATTACTGTGAAAGTACTTTTATTCGTGGGGTACCAATTTTCGTGGTTTTCGTGGATGGCTTTATCCGAAATATAAGAACTGTTGTCCAAATCAAGACATGGAGAGATATCCCCATTACCGTAGGTTTGCGTACATAGATTATCAAAAAACCTATTATGAACTAAAGATGCAACTTCAGACAGGATTCTGTCCATTTAATCATTAAAAACCGAAACTGTACGTCTTTTAACCCTTTAATTCTCACGAAAAAATTAGTTTTCATCGATAAAAGTCAGACTTCCGGTGATGATATGCGATGATGAAGTGTTCATTTTATATCCTCATAATTCTCATGCAAAAAAAATAAATAATTTCAAACGAATTGATTCTGCAGTTCAAAGATCATTTGTAGCTTTTTCTATGTACCGGTAACCGTTTTCCTTAGGCGACATGTTTATGGCCCAAATAACACCTTTGGTGACCGTTAATCTGTTGATCAAACAATCTCGGGTTAATTAGATGTCATCACTTCTGATTAAACGTGCGCAACAGCTAAAATGTTTACTTTGCAAATTTGGAAGAATACATGAATCTGCTTATTTCAGAAAGCAATTATCTTATTAAAAGTTTGATGAATGTTGTCAGCAATGAAAGACGAACAAGTAGGTGGAAACGAACACCTTATTTTGCAATGTGTCAGAAATTATTACAAAACAACATATGATTATTTTCTCGAGTTTTCGTTTAAGATGGCTTCCAATTCTTCACCAATAAAATTTTCTTTCAAAAAACTAAAATCCACGAATTGAAGACCCCACGAACATTCAACTTTTGCTCAAACCACGAAAATTGATACCCACGAATAAGAGTACTTACACAGTACATTGATATTTCAACGATGGATATTAGTTTAGCAGTCCTAGTGGCACTCTTGATTCTGATCTCTTATCAAGTAGAATTTATAAAAAAAAAAACCCTTCTCAAAGACAATAAGAAACGGCATCTTGATAAATTCTTTAATTTCACTTTCTGATAGATTAATGATGTCCTGTCACCCAAAAACTTACATTTCCGCGATTTCTTGCATCTCATATATCCCAATGACCTATTCATATTACATATCGTTATTTTCCTTGATATTAATACAGATGGGTGACTCAAAATAAGAATATATATGACATACGTAACGATTTATTTCCAATTGTCAACGATCAATTTCTCAGCAGTAGCGCAGCTTCTGCACCATCTTATGACATATTTTAAAAGATACGCTACGCTTAACAAGTGCTCCATCAGGAAGAGCGACTGAAATCGACACTTGATGAGTATTATGGACATCATCACGAATTGGTTTACTGATAAGATTTGTCTTTGTTACAGGTCTTAGATTTTGAAATACGGAAGAGAGACGGAAGATACCAAAGGGATATTCATCTCGAAAACCAGCCGAAAATGCCCTGGCTCCGGAAGCGTTTAGCAGATCCTGCTCCACAGTGACATCAATTGTTTAATTCCTATAAAATATGTTGAAGTTATTTCAAATGATCAGGCATCACGCAATAGCAGAATAGTCCTCTGATCTATAAACTTACCGATTGTGTTCTTCACTTGTAATCTCTCATTAAATTTTGATTTATGATATTTGAGTCAATTTTAGAAAGCATATTTGGCTATAGAATAAAAGAAATTTCTTGGGAATTATAATTACCATTGCTTGTTACATCCGGACTGCTGAAACTGTATTCCTGACTATGACTTTGTTGAAACCTTGGTGGCAGTGGAATAGCATTTCGGAGTTTGTCTCTTGTCCTTTTTACTTTAGTTTCATCCATTTCCGGTAGATTGACTCTGTTAATTAGATTGAAACCTAAAAGTAAATGAATATGCGGATAAGTTCAGTTTATTTCAATGTCTGTTGAACTAATTTTCCTTGAACAATTAAGATATAGAAAGTTTAACATTTACTATTTTTTGCAGTTTTAGTGTTTACATTTTGTGGTTGATAAAAGGTTCCCTGTCAAAAGAAATTTACTACACCTTTAGTATATTAAAAAAAAATAATATCTATATGTTCACTTAAAACAATAGAATATAATTTGCACAATTGTTTTCTTGCAAAGTTCTTGAAATGTAAGAGAGGGACGAAAGATACCAGAGGGACAGTCAAACTCATAGATCGAAAACAAACTGACAACGCCATGGCCAAAAAAAAAAGACAAACAGACAAATAATTGTACAGATGGTAAGCAGATCCTGCTCCACATGTGGTACCCGTCGTGTTGCTTATGTTATTACAAATCCGGTAAATAGTCTAATTCGGTAGGTTAATTTTGTGAAAAGGGAAGGGTATTGTAGTTACGACATAAGGAACATATCGGATATCATCTGTGAAACGGTTATTCCATAACGGTCAACCAACTCGTGATGGCGTCCGTAAAATTTACGAAGGAATGATTTCAACTTCACCATGTAAGTTTCTAAGTTCTAAAAATCTTAAAATTATATCTTATACATATATAAAGTCGAAAAGGATTAAACTATTGTAATTTCTGGAAGTCATTTTTCATTTTTGTTTTGTTTGTCCCTTTACTATGAATAGCAAACGAAAAAAGGATAACATAATATAACATAATAAATATATATTTTCATTTTTGCAAAAGGAGGGGAGTCAGAGGTTGCCACATTTAGCATTGATTAACCATTAAATACGGTTTCTGGAAACACTATACATAAATGTAATGAAACAAAGATGTAGAATGAGCTACCTAACTATTTCTACTCTTTCCTGTAAATGTTTTACCTTTTGTAAAAACGAGGCATGCAATACCAAAGTGGCAATCAAAAATCAAGTCGATAATACCATGGCACAATCTTATTATTTTGAACATTAAAAACGTTGAAAGTACTTCATACATCATCTACTAACACCTGTAACATAGAGGGAAAGACACTTACTATTCGATACATCCCTGTATGATAAACCTACAAAAAAAGGAAAAGAAAAATGCAATAATTTTATCTGATCAATGTGATTATAATTATAATTAATAGACACAATGACTTCTCAAATATGAATTCCAAAATAAAAAATAAAAAATTATAATTGTCGAGAGTCGGAAGCGCTTTTCTGTCTATACATATTAGAAACGCTGAAATAATTATTTATATTAAAGGGACATTAGCTACGAGAAATAATAAAAAAATGATTTTATTTTTGGTTCAATCATTATTGACAGTAAAAGAAAGGCAACAGTAGTATACCGCTGTTCAATAGTTACAAATCGATTAAGCGAAAACAAACCCGGGTCACAAACCAAAACTGAATGAACACATCAACTATAAGAGAAAAACAACGGAATAACAGAAACACTGAACTGCTACAAAAACAAACGCCAAAATACATAAAAACGGACTATTCGATAACAACTGTCATATTCCTGACTTGTTACAGGACATTTTAAGAAGAAATGGTGGGTTTAACCTGGTTTTATGAGTAGCCAAACCTCCCGCTTATATTGTTATAGTATTTATAGTTACTTATTTAGTGTTATATTTAACATTGCCATAATAGCGCGAGCTTTGGCTAGCCACACAACCAGGTTCAACCCACCATTTTTTCTTAAAATGTCCTGTACCAAGTCAGGAAAATGGCAGTTGTTATCTTATAGTTCGTTTCTCTGTGTGTTGCATTGTCGTTTGTTTTTTTTTTTCACTTCAATGTTTCTGTTGTTTCGTTGTTTTCCTCTTATAGTTGATGTGTTTCCCTCGGTTTTAGTTTGTAACCCGGATTTGTTTTTCCCAATCAATTTATGACTTTCGAACAGCGGTATACTACTGTTGCCTTTATTTACATACATTTAGAAAATAAGAATAGATTTCAAACCTCATACGATAAGACATAACACACACTATCAAACCAGACTTACAAAAGAAACATCATAACCTAAATATATGAATGATAGATGTATAAATACCGAGAACTAATAATTCGCTTTTAGCAACAGTTTGATTCAATTTTGTCAAAATAAGCAAAGAAACATCACTGAAGAAGTATTCACTTGCGAGTGCATAATTCGACCTCATTCAATCCGTATGCATGTGACCCTCAATTTTACTTTAGCTACAGAGGGGTTACGCAAAAGCTAGTCGTTCACACCTATTAAAAGGAAAGAATGTCAACATTGAAAGTGAAACATGAGAAAACCATTTGGTAGACTGATTCATATTATCGAGTACATGCATCGGTTATTGTTTTAGACTTTTATGATTTAGATATACGTTTTAGTATGTTATAAATCAAATTCGAAAATTCGGGTCAAATCGGTGAACATGAATTTGACAGCTAATGAGAGACAAATTTACTACAGCTATGTAATCAGTGATTCGGTACTGGCATGATTTCTGACATATTTTTTTCCAATAAGTAATAAGAAATGACTAAGACACTAAGGTTCCAACTCACTTAGACAAATATGAACTTAGATGGATTTAGCTTTTCTTTTAATAGAAATAAGAAGATGTGGTATGAGTGGCAATGAAACAAATCTCCATCCAAGTCACAATGTGTAAAATTAAAACAATTATAGGTCAAAGTACTGCCTCCAACACGGAGCCTTGGCTCACACCGAACAGCAAGCTATAAAGGGCCCCAAAATGACTAGTGTAAAACAATTCAAACAGGAAAACCAACGGTCTAATCTATATAAAAAACGAGACACGAGAAACACTTAAGAACCACACCAACAAACGACAACCACTGAAGCAGGTTCCTGACTTAGGACAGGTGCAAGCAAATGCAGCGTGTTACAACGTTTTAACAGGCGCCAACCTTCCCCCTAACCTGAAATAGAAGTGTAACATTACAACATAGAAAGACACACTATAAAATATCAATTGAAATGGCTCAACTCAATTAAAAAGACATATTAACAAAAACAAGTAAACATACACTGAACGAATAAATTTTATCTATGACACAATGTCAAAAAGACAACTATAACCTTTGACAAAAATGGCGTTCAATAAATAACATACACAGGTAAATTTAAATATAATAATTTTTGTTGTTAGGAGTACGGAGATATTTTTTACAAAATAAATAAATTTGTTGTTCATAGTACGAGAACAGCAGTGAAAATTTATTGTCATGCACATTTATGTCATATAGCTCCAAATTGTCTACGTATTTATACATCCCTTGCTTTCATATGTTTGGGATTGAGCATTCCAGATGAAGGTAAACACGAAAAAGCGTTCCGGACGCAAAACATTTATAAAGTTTTATTCAATTTTTTTTTACATCTTTCGGCGACCTCATGCGCTAAGTATGTAAAGCAGAGGCGCTAGCCACTAACACAATCCGATCACCAAAAGACGAAGTTTCACTGGAGTAGAGTTATCTTTGCTTGTCACGAAAGTTTTTAAAATTAGTACATGCCTTATACGTACACAGTGTTGTTTACGGTTTATGATCTCAGTCTGCTGAATGCACGTGCATCTATATCTGATTTATATATAGATGTCAATATAATTTATACTTCTCTATATATATAGTGAAAGCTCTGTATAACCGTCAAGCTAGTTTTAGTGTTTTAAAATTTGTATTACGTTTTAACATAGATTTACGCAATATGTCGCTAGACAAACTCGTTAAAATAGGAAAAGCTCCGTATAACATTTATCTCGATTATTCTTAAAACTACGGTTTCAGCTGTCTCCTTATAATGATTACGTCCTGATTACTTAAAAGCTTTATTGGGATAAAGAATAGTTGTTATAGTGGTCTTGGGCGCTAGGCCGTTAATGTTAATGATAAAATCATGACTTGTGTGTATTTATATTTATATGATGCACATTGTCTTACCTATGACTGAGGTGTCGGCATAACTATATACGGAACTATTCCGTTCAGAGCTGCTTTCCTGGTGATTTCGTCTGCGTGACAGTAAAGGACTTGATCTTGAAGCAGAAGTTCGTTTTCGTTTCTTCCGTCCTAAGAAAAGTTAAGCAATGGATGTAATTACAAAAAGGACTATACCTGTACTACTTTACTCAGTTTTTTTTATAAAACAATATTGTAGTGTTTAAATTTTTACCGTCGTAATTGTTACTGTGAAAATTTTGAATAAACTGCAATAGATGGAGAGCAATACTTACAGTCAAGTCACAGTATCATCATTATTATGGATTGAGTTATCTAATGTGATATAAATCAACATATCATGAAAAAAGTTAAAACATATGTGAATTTTACAGTGGACTGTAAATTTTCTGCGACATTTTATTAAAATGCATCGAAATGACACTGTACGCACAACATGATGAACATCGGATATCAAATCGCATGTTATTGAGAAAACGCTGTGAAAAAAAAAAAATAAAGTGGTAGGGACAATTTTCACTCACATGGTCAAAATATGAATGTCGTTAAAATCTAATAGTATTCAAATATTGAAGAATGTCTATGATATTATCTTAGAAATTATCAACAATTTTAAAAATTTCAGCTGAATTAACATTTGTCAGTGTTTCATATTGCTGTTGAAGACAATGTTGCAAATTATACATGTTTTTTTCTTCAAAAAAATTGCATTGAAAGGACTTCTGTTAAAAGAGAGGAGAATGATATCAGAGGGACATTCAAACTCATAAGTCGAAAATAAACTGACAACGCCATGGCTAAACAGGAAAAAAGACAAACAGACAAGCAACAGTACACAAAACAACAGAAAACCAAAGACTTAGCAACACAAACCCCACCAAAAAAAAAAAGAATATATTGAGGTGATCTCAGGTGCTCCGGAAGGGTAAGCAGATCCTGTTCCACAAGTAGCACCCGTCGTGTTGCTCATGCAAGTACAAACCCGGTGATATGTCTAACTCGGTAGGTCACATTCGGGGGAAGGGGATGAGATTGTAGTTATGATAATTGGAACATATCCGTCGTCATCTGTGAAACAGATATTCCATAACGGTCAACAAACTCGTGATGGCGTCCATAAAATTTACTAAGGGATGATTTCAACTTTGCCACTTGAGTCTGTTTGTTGAAAAACACGTCCTCCAAACGTAACAAATATGTTGTCAATCAAGAAATCAAGCATCTTGATAATGTCAGTTTCAGAGAATTTTTTGTTTGAATCAGAGTGATTTTTTATAAAGTACGATTTATCCCTTGTAATAGGAATGGGGGATACTTGTATAAAGTGTAAAAAAGTCAAATGTTTTAATACTATTTCAAGATGAAAGAGTCTTATATTGTATGTACTCTACAAGATCTTTGGATTTTTTTAGTATCCACATCTGATTTACGCCACCTCTAGAATAGGTAGTTCACAATAACTTTGAAGCCCGGCTTTGGATGCAGATAAAATAGAAGTTAATAATTTAGAAAGAGGTTTCGTAGAGCACTTGGAAGACCCAGCAATATAACGTTGTTTGTAAGGACACTTATGTAGTTTAGGTATCCAATACAGTGAAGGAAGATCCAGTTCTTCATCTTTGGTTGAAATTCCAAAGGAACATAGAACAGACCTATGATTATCCAGGATTCTGTCTTTGGTAAGTGTCGCGGGGGTACATTTATATGTTGAGTTTCTAAGTGAATTGTCAATACCTTATTCATTTATTCAGCAGTTTATGTAATTTGATTTACATACAAAAGCTATGTTATTTGGGACTTTATCTGCGGAACAACAACAGATTTTTCATGGAGGTAGGACAGGTGTTTTCTTTAAAGATTGATGTAGCATTGGTGTCCATAGACCTATTTAGTTAGGGTTAGGGTTATTAACAAGTTAAATAAATTCGTATTTGTAAGACGATATATAGTATAGAAATAAGGAGATGTGGTATGATTGCCGATGAGACAGATATCAACTTACTTAGTGTTTGTCTTTTCGTCGTTTTACGTTTTTTGACATGACATTGTCAGTTTGTTTTCTACTTATGAGTTTTAATGTCCCTTTGGTATCTTTCGCTTTTCTTTATCTTACCACACAATTTTGGTTTTGGTTAATGATGTCCATCTTATACATTTGTTTGTATACACAAATTGCCAACATCTGTCAAAATTACATTTTTGAACGATCGTTTAGCGTTTATTATTCGGTTATATGTTGGAAAATACACAAAAATCGTGGTAAAATCATAACAGACACATTTAATTCTATGAAACTGTGAAGATTAAAGGACGTTTTTAAAATGACCTTGGTGAGTAATAAAATCACGGAAATTGGCCCTATAAACGGTTTGTACGAACGACAATTCGTTTACTTGTATAACATTCAAAGCTTTATGAAATTCATATTTCAGACTTCTTAACATTTTACTACGAAAGTCTAGAAGGACCATGCGAGATCCGATATATCGAAATTCAAAATTAAATATCCGCAGTTCAAAATTCGAAATTCGAAATTCGAGATTTATATCTTTATTTCGAGATCCGAGATTTCTCTTAGTCCTTCATTATTGTATTATATATATATATATAAAAGTAAGATAAAGATATACAAGTTATAGATGACTTATGCCTATATTGTTAGCTAAAAAGTCTTTCATCAACATTTTAAATAGCTCGGTTGGTTGTAAAAATCTTTTAAGAAGTAAAATTAAATCATTTTATTAACAATTACAAAGCAAATACATACCCCTTTTTGAAATAAATACTATGAGCACTATTATACATATAATTACTAAAGTTGCCAGTAAAATAGACACTACAATAAATGGAGTTGTCAAAGTACTATTACTCGTCTGACTAGAAATAGAAAGTATCATACATGCATTAAAACAACCATTATAACATAAGATAAATTCGCACATTATTTGAATACTTTAATCTTTTTTATTCGAGTGTTACCGATGAGTCTTTTGTAAACGAAACGCGCATCTGGCGTACAAAATTTTAATCCTGGTATCTTTGATGATTTTATTCCTGATTTCTTAGACGTTTCTTTCCAGACATTTAATATTTTTGTAGATTCAGAATGTTTTCCTACCTCCAATGGGTCTATTGATTATCATGAATCACATATAATAACAAAAAATGATTGTAACAGGATGTTGTTACGAGGTCTCCCATAACTATGAACCCCTACGGACTTCCCCCTAGTATTTATTCAATTCACCTTGTAGAAATTATATGGTGTAGGGGTGAGGATCTTAACCATTTACAAATTATAAGAACATTATCATATGACAGTGGGCGAGGATGACCCCTCGGGACTTCTTTTATATTTCATTTAAAATATCTTTTCATGTCAAACCAGAAAATATATGGTTTAGGGGTGGGGATCTTGACCACCTACAAGATATTTGAGCATACATAAATGACAGGCTATAGCAGGAATCACTTCCCCGGGCAAGGCGTCCGGTGTCGCTTCTTGGGTGCCACATGTGTAGCACCTGAGATTATGCCCGGTTTTGTGCGTTCTTGTCGCTAAGTCGATAATGTTTCTATGTTGGTTTTTTAGACTGTTGTTTGTGTCTTGGTCTTTTTTGTTATTTGCAATTGTATTGTCAGTTCGTTTTCGACTTATGGGTGGTTTCCACCTCTCTTTTTGAATCATGGGATTCCCTAAGAGGTTTTCCATTGGTTTCTATATTTAAAATTAATAAACGAGATTCAAACATCGGTGAAGTACTGTTGTATAAATATGTACATCACTCTTACTGAAAAAGATATTTCATTTACATCAACGAACTTGTGTGCGACAAAACCATTTCTTTCAAATTACTAATCAGAAGAATTCATGATGAAGTGGACTTATTATCTTAGTTTCCCCTTACTGGCAAGAAGTAGGACGTTTGGTTTGTTTTATTTCAAACAGGTGCATGCTATGAATTAAATACTTACACATCTAGGTACCCCATCCCGCCAAACACACACACACACTTATTAACACTATCAAAGGTAGAGCAATTACATCACGAAACATTAGTCAACCTTTGTGGAAATACCTTTTGTTTTTGTAACAACTTTCCACATCATCGTCAGCAGTACATGGTTTACAAGAACCTGAACAGACAAAATATAAGTTTAAGACAAAAACCAAACATTCGCATGAAGCAGAATTCCACCAAAAAGATAAAAACACAATACACAAAAAGCATCAAAACTGCAAAAAAAAACTTAAGGGTATATTTTTGTTTTACAAAGGAAGCTTGTAATGCCTTGTTAGCAAATTTCTATATTCACCTGTTCTTCAAAGCTTGTGATCGATGATAGATTAGGATGTGACAGCTTCGTATTTTCCCAAAAAGCAAAGAAAAATATTGCAGACCTTTATATTTGAAATATGTCTTTATCATATAAACATATCTGACAATCATATAATTAATATGAAAATATTTGCAAATAAAGGATATTGTTTATTCAATCATGACACAAAATAAGTGTTTGTGTTTTAAGCAAAATCCTTTTGAACGTAAAATATTACTAAATTTTGACAATGATAAGTCTTTGCACTAAAACAAACATGCATTAATTAAAACTTGCGTTGGGAAAACTTGTTTGTAATGAACATTGACATTAAGAATATGTTGTATTTTTTCTGGTGTTATATCTATAATTTATCACTATTTACCATTCCTTGTCAGTATGAAACCATTACTGCAGTTTTTCTGGTCACAGTTGTTCGGATCTTCACCATAATATCCGCGGCTTAGATCACAGGTGCATTCCGACACATTCCATTTTGTCTTTTCTTAATGTTAAAATGAAATAAACTTCAAATTAGTAGTAAATATAATTTGAAATTAAACGTTACATTTCTAAGTAGAATCTACTGAATTAAGAAATAAGAAGAAGTGGCATGATTGTCAATAACACAAATATCCAAGCAAGAAGTGATATTGTGAAAAAATCTTGCCCACAAATAATATCCCTATTTGTCGTCATTAACATATTGCTCTTGTGTATTGAAATCTGTTATGGTCTGTTATCAAAAACAATCTCGTGTGTTTTTTTTTTATCTAATACAACAATGTCTTCTTTTACAGTATGTTTTTTTTTTAAATATATATAAAGTTCGTTTTACCTGGGCATGTTTGAAGTGAACTTACAATCCTGGTGACGAACTGTAATAAAACAAAAACTATATCACATGATATAATGATTACTGATGAATATTCATTTAGCATATTTAACCTGGCCAAATTATGTGTTTCCCCCAAATCAAGGGTTATCATAATAATTTAAAATTCTTTGTTCCTTGTTGAATCTAGTGTTATGGTCGAGTTTAAATTATATTTTTTTGATGACTTTTGAAAAGATTTATTCAGTACTTGTTCCGACTCGGGACGATGCAGTGCTTGAAATAATAAATATACACATTTAGTGTGTTGGCCTGTATATGTTCTCTGATGTATTATCTGTGTGTTTCTGTTCCGTTGACATATTCCAAATCTCCATTTATTCCTATTTAGGTGTTGATGCATATAACATGTGCAAACAATGAGTATCATTAGACAGCTCAAAACAAATATCGCAAATTTGAGTTTTCCAAAATTTACTGTCTTCAATTGATCGAATGTTTTTGTGTCAAGCTACACTAACTATTGATTTAACCACCAATGCAGACAACATATATCAATCTACAGCTTACTTACTTTAGATCACTACATTAATAATAAACCGCATATAATTCAGTTTTTTTTATATACTACTTCAGTATTAGGTTAATGATTTGACATATATCTCAGACAATGAGGAGTCGTGTTCATCATTTTCAATTTGTATTCAGTGTCTAGAATTGTTTGACTGATGACATTTTCATGACAATGATTTTTGGGACTTTTTCTATATAAACAAACTGGTAACGACAAGATCACAATTAATTATTATGATAGTACTGTAATAAACTCCGATTTTACTATTACAAATTTTTTTTAATTTTGGTGCTTGTAACTTTTATTTATTGGATGGGAGGGGTTGTTGTAATCAAATAATTATCGGATGTTAATGCATGGAAATCTCGTGATAAAATCCTTTCTGTCACCTCGTTTGTTCCATGTACTCACCGTGAAGAAAATGATTATAGAGACTATTTTTGATTCCTTCATTTTGAAATCGATTTCAACATTATTAACACATCTTTAGTCCATAACCGGTCAGTCTTGTATCCCTCCACTAAGCTGGAGTTGCTGTGAATAGAACTTAAGAATAACAACCAGTGTTAACTCACCCTAACTAACAAATGGTTATTTTTACCTAAATAAAATTGAAATGGTCGAATATGTTGGAGTTGTCTAAGATCCATCAGTCGAATAAGATGGCTATATAATGGATATTGTAATGAAATAAATATGTGAACAATTTCTTACACACTGGAATGGATCAATCTTCTCAATAGTTTTTATATAAATGATTGTCTTTGTATTTAATATTGCGTTTGTTAAATTTTATAGTTTGGTCCCAAATATCTCCATTTTTAACCTGAAGGTAGAAAAACCTCAATGTTTCGAATTATTTACCAAAAATGTATGAACGGAAGATAAACGTATCAATTATATTTAGCATATATAATTACGTTTGTTAAATACTTTTACAAGATGAACAAGATGTATTTTTTCTTCAAATTCATAACCAATCAAATATTTTCAATGATTTCTCATTATTTGGATCATTGTATATTGATCAGAAAGAGATCATTCCTTGGAGTATTGTGTTTACGATGACTAATTTTCAATATGAAAACTAAGTTAGTCCTTTATTCCGTTGTGATGATATTTTATACTGCAACAGTGGTAGTATTTGCGTTATGTTTCCTTGACGATTATACCTCTGCTGGTAAGGTTGCATCTTTCGCCTTTCATTTGCAATAATGAAAACAATCTATAGCATATCAATGGGACAGATAGTATGTTACACCCAAGAGAAGGCAGATCACAATAGGAAATCATAATAACCGCTTTTTTAAAGAATAAAATAACAAAATTACCGAACTCCAAGGATAGTTCAAAACGGAAAGTCCTTTGTCAAATGGCAAAATCAAAAGCTCAAAAACATCAAACGAATGGAAAAACTGTCATATTCCGGACTTGGTACAGACATTTTCTTATGTGGATGGATTAAACCTGGTTTTATAGTTCGCTAAACCTCTCACTTGTATGACAGTTGCATAGAATTCCATTATATTGACAACAATGTGTGAGCAAAACAAACAGACATAATAAGTAAAAATGTAAAAAATTGGGGCAATTCCCAATAGGAAAACTTAAAAGTAAAATAACAAAAATATCGAGCTCCAAGGATAGTTCAAAACAGAGAGTCCTTTATCAAATGGCAAAATCAAAAGCTCAAACACATCAGATGAATGGGAAACAACTGTCATATTCCTGACTTGGTACCGGCATTTCTTTATGTAGAAAATGGTGGATTAAAGCTAGTTTTTTAGCTAGCTAAACCTCTCCCTTGTATGACAGTCGAATAGAATTCAACTGTATTGACAACAATGTATGAGAAAAACAAACAGACATAAAAGGTATAAATGTCAAAAATTTGGGTACAGCAGTCAACATTGTATTATAATAGATTCAATCCACAATCGTCAATTTCAAATAACACATTCGTTCCAGAAATGTGATTGTGGGGATATCATAGTGTCTTCTGTTTGCGATTTAAAAAATTACTTATGGCCTGAATAATGACTGGAGGTACAAGTTTGTTACTTGAATTTTTACTTTTATGCACTTTCAGGGACTTAAAACTGCCTCGATTTGTGCATTCGCCTCCATCTTAAACATGTAAATCCCAATAATACTTTTGCAAAGATTGTATATTTGACAGAACACTGGTCAGAATAATGAAACTATGCACATTTAGAGAGAATCAAACTTAGTCTTATAAAATATAAAATAGTTATTCAAGAGGAAACGATTTTCGTGTATTATCCTCTGCAGATTTAAATGAAATCAAATATACTAAGGTCTGTACTCATAAGGCACTTATTTACTAGGTAGTTAATAAAATTGGTGCTTCATCTTTATTCGTAGGACGACAAACATATTCGATGGTTGTCGTCAGCTTGGAACACACTGAAAATGACTGTGATTAAATGTGGGTAAGACTGACTTAGATTTTTGGCAGCCGCCTATAAGTCTAGTAAGCTGAAACGTAAAACAAAGATGATCAAATGTAGCATTATCAACCTGATATATGTAACTTTTAATCATATTTGTGCCCCTTGATTATAATCGACCGTTTAATAGTTGGAGTGTGAAAATGTTTATTTTCTACTGCACTATATTCTAAATATCCATATTCAATCTTCATTTGATATCATGTCACTAAAACAGTACAATTTTAAAGCATTTTAACGATTAATTACACTTTCAAATGCTATATAAAATTAAGAAGATAAATGTTTAGATATATATAGTTTGTTTTAAAACATAAAGTTCAATTTCACCTTTATTTGAAATACCTGTCCGTGTTATAAATTTTGGTGTGGTAAACGACGAATGAATAATTATTTAAACCTTAATTCTATAAATAGAAAATCGCCATGGTTACTAAATGCTTTTACGCAGTTGGGAACTACCAAACTAGTTTTAACAAGAACAGTAAATTATATTTTGTAAAATATGTTGAACTTTTGAAATCGAAAAGGAAATCAAAGGAACTTCACTATTTTTTGCTGTTTAAACTGATCAATTTGAGCAATATATTCAGGAATATAAATTGTACCATTTCTATGAAAGTTTTTTATGAAGAAGACATGGTATCTTGTGGAGAGTTGTCTCATTTGCAATCATACCACGTCTTCTTATTTCTATATGTTCAAATTTTTGCGTTAGTTTCAAGTTTCATCAGATAAATATTTATTATCGATGTCCGAAAAGTCAACTACATTAAACGGAAACAAATCAAGTTAGAAAAATGTAAAATACACAAAAAGAATATTATGTCCATTTCCATAAAACACTTTTACTGGACATAGTAATATATAAATTAAGGACTTTCATTCGGTCAATACGTTATAAATAGACCTGTTAGATTATATTGAACCTCGGACTTCGTCATCGGTCAATATAATCTGAATAGGTCCATATATAACGTATTGACCTCGTAAAAGTCCATAACTGATAAATATCCACCATTCGCGGTTAAAAACCACAATAACAGAAAAAAATAATGTGATGCGTAATTAACTTCACAAAACACGCAGTCTATATATGTTTATTGCAAGTAAATTGCAATTCATTTTTACTTACCTTAAAATGTAATGATACACTCATTTGACAAGGTCGTGCATGCAAGACTTATGCGGCATTGCTATTTCATACATTTTCATACAAACAAACACAAAATGGAAGAACAATGATAAAATTTCAAAGACTAAATACGCTCGAACAATGCAGGGGATTTAATGGTATGTTTGCAGTGCTAGCAATTTTATTACAAAGAAAAAAAATAACATTTCAACTTACTCACCACTCCAATTGTCGCGACCATCTTCTGTCGTCACTGTGATATTAGGAATAATTTGCAAGTGAATGACATCTTCTTGATACCAAAGAGTAAATGTATAGATTCCGCAATCCGTTACCAAACTAATATAATTCAGACAAAAAAAAACTTACCTTAATTAAACATGTAAGAATTTACCAAAATTAGTTTCATGTTCATGATGTTAATTAAGTTTGATAAAAGTAAGAAATGTGAATTTTACCTGTATTGAAATTTTATTTTTAAATCCATGTAATATCCTTTTCCATGGATATTTGAAAAACCAGTAAATGTTTGAATAATACGCCTACTGAACATTCGATATCATTTAAATGAATTCGTTTTATGAATGGATAAGGACTACTATGTGTACACACACAGGAAAAGGTAGCTTTAGCCTTGGTTTATTATATATCGTCCAAATAGAAAATAAAAAATATTAAATTGAAAATTTATATTGTTGAATTTGTAATTTCTAAATACATAACTACTATATATTGCTCATTCCATTTTAGTAATGATATTTAGTATTTGTAAAATAATTTTGCGGGTTTTTTGCAACAGAAAGATGGTTTCCAATGGTATTTTTTATTCGAAAGCTTATTTTTGCGCTGGCTATTTTCAAAACAAAATACTAGAAACGAAATTAAACATTATCAGTACAATTTGTTATTAATACCTGCACATTATTTTTCTGTTTAAGGTAGATGGAGGGTCTAAATTGAAATAGATTTTTTTTAATAATTTGCTTAATAAAGGCAACAGTAGTATACCGCTGTTCGAAAACTCATAAATCGATAGAGATAAAAACAAATCCGGGTTACAAACTAAAACTGAGGGAAACGCATCAAATATAAAAGGAGAACAACGACACAACAAAAACACAACATTAAAATGTAACACACACAGAAACGAACTATAATATAACAATGGCCATTTTCCTGACTTGGTACAGGACATTTTAAGAAAAAAATGGTGGGTTGAACCTGGTTTTTAGGCATGCCAAACCATTTTGGGTTTGAGCGTTCCTGATGAAGATAAATCTATTAAAACGCGTTGGACGCACCACATTTATAAAGTATTATTTTAATATCCAAACGTTTAACAAATTCCAACAATGTGTCTATATTGTTGATATCTCAAAGTAAACTTTCGGTCTTACCACGAAGTAAATGTTTGTTCAACATAATTAACGACAGTTTACATGTCAATTAGAAAACAAAATGAAAAGAACGAGACTTGGTATGATGGTCAATAAGTACATTAAAACCAAAGGACAGAAGGCATTTATTTTATACAATGTATACAGTAAATCTTATATTTATTCACAAAAAGAATGAAGACAGTTCATATAAAGTACTTTCTAACAGATTATTTTATAAAAGTTTCACTTTTCGAGTTATCTCTCCTTGTATGGCAAAGTCGAAAATAATTGAATAAAAAAAGACATATTTTGTATTTGTAAAAACTGTAATAAAAACAAATACATGTGTTATTCATGTAGATGAAACGTCTTACAATTGAATTACATACCTCTCTCAAAATGTGCACATTTCATTACAGATCTAGACAGATTGTTTTCTGCTATTGTACAATCCTAGACCGAAGTACTTTAAATAACATTATGTTGTTTTCATAGTACATGGAGAAAAGGTGAGTAAAATATTAAATAAAATCAAATATATCTGTCCATTGAAAGTGTTATTTTTATTCAAAGAATATGATTATATCATTAACTGTACCAGTTATACTGCACCAGATGCGTATTTCGACAATAAATATCTCTTCAGTGATGCTCGAGGCCGAAATATTTGAAAATATAAAATGTATTAAAAAGAATTAAGGCTTCAAGACGTGGCTATATATGAAACAGACTGTCCCTAGCGGTGAACTAGATGATGCTGCTTTTAATTACACATCAATTCTACAACGATCTCCTCTTTCTGCTAATGAAAATCTTATTGGTACAATAAGTTCCTTGTATTTTATTTTTATGTCTGCAAATTTCTTAATGTAAATGGAAATAATTCATTATAAATGTCGTGCGTACAAAGCGCTTCACTTGATTTGCTTTCATTAGGAACACTGAAACCCAAATATTTGTAAGCCAGGGATGTATGAATACATAGAGACGTCAGACGCTATATGACCAAAGGGACCTTAATTGTAAAGCCTAAATCAACTTTGCATGAGGGAGTTGGAACCTTAGCACCTTACCACCTTGGTGAATTTTGCAATAACATGTTATAAATCAGTTCAGTACCGAAGCGCTAACTTCTCAGCTGATGATACCCTCGGGAATTAACAGTCCACCAATAGTGGTATCGACCCAGTGCAAGTCAATAAACATACTGCTTTATAAATTTCGTACGCCTGAAGCGCTTTTCTGGATTTATTTCTTATCAGGAACGCGCAACAAAAACATCTAAAAACCAGGGATATAAATATATATATATGAAGTTTGATACTGTCACCAGAAAATCAGTATCACTTTTACGAACGAACTGATCTCTTCTTCCTGCTAAATTGATACTTTATTGATATGAGGCATATTTCGTTCAAGGGTGTTGCATTTGATAATGGACTTTCCGATTTGAATTTTCATTGGAGTTCGGTATTTCTGTTATTTTCTTTTTTTCAAAAAGCTTATATGATCCCTTATCTTCTTCAATATAGATAAAAACCTGGTTGTTTCATTGCTTATATATGTTAGCGGCAATAAGTAAAATTAAGCTTAAATCCTCGGAAATAAGCTAACGCCTAGGCATTAATTTATTGCCTGACATTTTCAGGCATTAAGCCTATTTCCTGAAATATGACGATGACTATTCAACCTATTACCAAACATCATTTCAGGCAATAAGTGAACTTTGGGATGTGTATTTTATCTTCCAAGTACATGTTCAATCGGTGAACTAATCTTGATATAAGGTATTTTTTAAATTATATTCCACATATTGATATACACTAATTTAACAGATATCAAATTTTAGTATTTTTTCATATCCATAACAGAATTAGCTTGTATTTCTTTGTGGTATTACAAATATAAATATGTTACAAACAAGTGATTGTATCTAATGAAAGGAGGGGGATTGTTATATACTCCCAGACCATCTTGTCTTTTTAACTTCCTAATCTGAATTATTATCATTAAGTGACATGCTACTGAAGGTAAATTTCCTGAATGTATGCGGTCTTAATCTTAATCAGGGAAAACAAGGAGCATTTACCCAAGACAGAACAATGATATTTTTTAAACTTTTACATTTTAGAATCCCCACAGAAGACGGCTACTACATTCAAAAGGTATAACATTTTTACCCCAGGGGGCTTTGAAAGGTTGATAAATAAAGTAAAGGAGAATGATGAGAAACTTTTCAAAATTTATATTTTCCTAGAGGAACTATATTGTACTTTGGAAAAAGCACATACACAGGTCATGGCGACAGAGACCGTATGATTTAAACAACTTAATAATAACTATGTAAATGTTTCTTGTGATTCCATGGCTATGCAAATATTTTTAGTAATTCCATCAAACTATTTCTTTCACTTTGAGAAAATTGTAACATGAAGAAAAAGTATTTCAGGCAGTTGACATTTTAAACTTCAGTTCTTATGTTATTATGTAGCAAATGTATTTTAACTTTGAATAAATATCTTTTTTTTTACTCGCGTTTACGTTTTAGGCATTAAGATTAATACCTGGACACATTTTTGCAGGATTTAAGAATAATATCTAAAATTTTTTTAGGCTATTAAGTTACTGCCTAGGCGTTAGCTTATTGCTTAGGATTTAAGCTTAATGCCTAATTTCACTTAGCTGTCGCTAACACATATATATAGATATACGTCTAAAAATGTGACAACTTTATGACAGCCATTCTCCATCGGATAACCCGTGGTTTATATGATCCGTTCATCCTATTTCGACTCTTTAAAATTCAAGCGTCTATCCTAAATTGAGGTAAATTATATGGCTTTCCAAATACCGTTTCGATCCCTTACATCACTGAAGAGACATTAATTGTCGAAATCCGGATATGGTGTACAAATTTGTGCACCTCATATTTGCGGTATACCATCTTCTCCGCAAGTTTATTGTTTTCTGTTTGGTATTAAATTAATAATTAAGATCCATATTACATCTCGTGATCAATTTATTTGGCAATCGTCAATGGCAGTCAGCAGGGTTTAAGAACATCAGTTGTTCGACCTGTTAGTCAAACGCGCGTTATTCAGTGTGCACCACATTTTTGATGTTATTTCTTCATAGACAGAAAAAATATTACAGTCATTCCTTAAATAAATTACTGCACGTATACATGTACATGTATAAGACTTTGAGTGATTTTAGAACATTCAAATACGAAATAAAAGATGAATTTTGGTCTGTTTGTTTTTCATAACAACTCAATTTTCAAACAGTTACATACTTTCCATAGATATTTTTGCAACCCAAAATAGTTAACAGATATATTGATTTTCATTTGCATAAGGTCGCTTTATATCCAACGCAGCATTATTGTTATTAGATTGATCTCTATTTATATCATCTGTATCGTTTTGTCTTTATGTAAAGCTGTTTAAAGAAACTTATTGTCTTTATACACTACAAATAGAAACTACACGTATGAGAAGGAACAACACAGTCAATTACATCATTTCCCAAAGAATCATATCAAACAAAAATAAAAGACTAACATCGATAAATGAAAACAAGACAACCACCGACATCTTATAACATATACATGTATATTAATATTTATCTTGATAGAAGATAATCCAATCGATCTACGTTGTCGAATGTCATTCATTTTCATATTGATAAATGACATGTGAGTATACGGACTCTGTAAGCTATTTTTCAACAAATTGCTGAGTTTTACACCTGGAGTGAAACATATACAAAAGAAATTGGCATTATGTTTTTATGTTGTGCTGTTACACTACTGTTCCAGGTTAGGGGAGGGTAAAGCGCTCACAAACATGTTTAACCCCGCCAAATTATGTGCCTGTAGTTCAGATGTTGTCGTTGGTTTATGTCTGTCATATTTGTTTTTCGGAATTGTTTTGTTATAAATAAGACCGTTAGATAACTAGTT